TTGGGTAAAAGTAATACGATGAAGCAGTAAAGGAAGTGTTATATTGTAAGCTTCTCTCTTAAAGTTGACATTCAGATCGGTTGAAGTTTTAAAATTTTGTCTCTGGTAATGTCTGGTCTTAATGCAGTGGTCCACAGAAATGTAGAATGCAGTCAGGAAATCCTGGAACTGAGTGATGTACATATTCACAATTCCTTATTTTTCCTTCTACAGATTTGAGAGTGTTAGACTATTTCTGTTATTTAATGTTCCCTTTAGAAATAACAATGCAACATATTCAGGTCCAAATTCAGTCAATTTCTTTACTTAACTTTTGGATGACAGAAGGGTCTTAAAATGCTTTAACACCTTTTATACACATAACATATATTTTTCATGTGTACTTAAATTATATATTATTTTTAAACTCCATAAGATATTTTGGTATTATTTTAGAAGCCTTATATTTAAGAATGACTCCTCATATTTGGTTTTTCTTTTTTCTTTTGGTACCAGGGAAATTTGTTACTTTGTCTGTTCTTGATTTTGCATTTCATTTCAGACTTTCCTATGATTCACTTGTTTGCTAGCTGAAGTATATTCTTTAGTATTTTCTCCATTAAAATCAGTTGGCAGTTAAATTATCTCGGATTAAAAAATCTGAAATACTTTTGTCATTCTGAGAGATACAGTCATTGGATATAGAATTCCAGGTGGAAGGTTATTTTTTTTAGCATACTGAAATGTCACTGCATTATTTCTGGCTTTCGTTATTGCTGCTGGAAAGTTAGCAGTCTAAATTTCATTCTTTGAAAATAATCTATGCTTCTTCCTCCCTGGTTGCTTTTAAAGATAATTCTGTCTGAGGTATTCTGATGGTTTATTAGGCTCTGTCTAGGGTATTTTTATTTGTACTGGTTGGGATATTTTTAGTTCCTTTAATATGTTAATTGGTGTCTAATCAATTCTGAAAGCTATTTTCAGTAGTACGCAGTATCTTCAGGGCTCATAAAGAATTGTCAACCTCTTCAGTACCTGACACAAGTATCTGTCTGTCTGATGTGCAGCTCTGGTGCTACCCTTCTTTATTTCTCATAAAAGCAAACACGTGCTTTCATACATCCACAGAGAGACACATAGGAAAAACATGATTCAAAAGGTACAGATGTCAGTTAGATAGGCGGAATAAAAGTTTCTGAGGTCCGTTTTGTGGCTTGAAGACAAGTTAACAATGTGTTGTATATTTCTAATTGCTAAGACAGTAAATTTCTAGTGTTCTCCCTATAAAAAGGTAAGTATGTGAGATAATATTTCTGTTAGTTGATTTTACTTAACAACCCCTTATTGTATACATATACCAAAGCATCACAAATACAGTATATAAAATTATTTGTCAATTAAAATTGAAAAGTAAAAACTGAAAAAGTAATTTGAAAAAAATAAGAGGATGTAGAATTTCTGTACTGCTACCAGCTTTCTTCCAGAAATCAATTCAGGAAATAAGCTTTTCGTCAGCACCTCTACCACCTCTTTGGTTTAAAAAAAAGCAGAAGGTGGGGAACCACTCCTCCTCTTTCTCTCACCGAGAAGTTCAGCCCAGAGATCACCTGAAGGATCGATGTTTTGGTGACGTTTGCTACAACGTTTTTCCTGAACTGTCTGTATGCTGAATTAACATAGAAGAACAGTGTGAGATTACAATACTTAAAACAGCACATTGCTCACAAGAGTGCCTAACACCCAGAATTTAGTGCAGTTGTTTATCCATTCTTTATAAACATAAATTTGTGGGATTTGTAAGGTGTGTGTCAAATTTACATGAATGAATTTTGATAGCCTTCTCTTTAACTATATTGAGAATGTTCTTGACATAAAACACTTCCATTTGTCACCCCTTTATTCTATAATACTAAGATTAACCTTAAGTTGGCTTTCCTAGATTATCACATATCATAATCAGTTTTTTAGTAAATTCTTATTTTGTCTGTCAAATTAAATGATTTTTTCCAGATTCAAATTGCACAATTGATGACAGTACTTAATTATAATTGGGGGCAGAGAATAGTCTTTTTGCAGATCCAGAAACAACAGTGAATATTACACAGGTTCTCTATGAAATTTGGAATTTCTCACATTAATACAAATATATTTTTCCAAAATAAGTGAGATAGAATTTCTATTCTGTTCTGAAGTGATCAAACTTCTAGTGCATTATGCTGAGAAACATGAAAGAGTGAGGGCAATAGATTGGATCCCTAAATGACAAGGAAATTTGTGCAAAGATCCAAGGGAATCATTTCATAAAGTAAAAGCAAATTGTGTCAATTCCACAGAAGATAATGATGACAATAAAGGGAAGGTTTGAAAGAATTAAAGCTGCTGCATGTGCCTGCCTCAAATTACAGAAAATGCTGCTACTTATTAAGGGGACAAAAGTGATAGAAATAATTTTAATAAAAGGGGAGTTACTATATTTAGAAATTGAATGTGAAGGAGAATGGCATAATGGCTGGAATATGGAATAACATATAACTTAATTCATTCTGGAATGTCCAATTTTCTAACCTTATATCCTTTCAAAAGTTGTTTAATCCTATCATTATACTCTTTCCATCTGCAGGGATGAAAAGGGTACTTCATGTTTTGATGGTAGAAGTCCTTCTATAGTGCAGGGAATGTAAACTAGTACAACCATTGTGAAAATCAACATTGAGATTCCTCCAAAAACTAAAAATAGAAATTTCATGGAACCTAGTTTTACCTCTTCTGAGTATCTTTCCCAAAGAGTTTAAGGCATCACATCATGGTGATATGTGGATACCCATGTTTATAGTAGCATAACTCATAGTAGCTAAATCTTGGAAATGGTCTGTATGTCCATCAACAGATGAATGGATAAAGAAAATGTGGAATATATACACAATGAAATACTACTCATCCATAAAGAAGGATAAATTTGAGTCATTTGTTAGAAAATGGATGCACTTTGAGACCATAATGTTAAATGAAATAAATCAGACACAGAGGGTTAAATATCATAGTTTCTCTTTAAAGGAAACCCAAAGAATAAATTAAAGAGCAAAAAAAACCCACATAGACAATAACAAACAGGAAGATTGACCTTTGGCAGACAGGAAGTAGCTCTAGGGATGGAGGGAGAGGGAAGGAAGAGCAGGGGAAGAGAAAATAAAAAGGACTAAGATTTGATATGTATATTTACCAACTCCCCATGATGAATGTGTTCATTATGTATTGCAAACATGTACTAATAAAAATATAGAAATATGCTGCATAGAAGGCCTTTACAAGAATTTGGAGTACAAAGTAAAATGCTCAAAGATGACTCAATTAATTTTAGTGCTTTTTTTCTCTTAAATTCTTTTATTGGTACATTTTAGATATACAATACACTTACATTCATCATTGAAAACTTGTACCTTTACATGATGTATCTTAGTTCTTATTTTTTTCCCCTTTCCCCTGCCCTCCCTTCAACCCCTAATTTGAGTGCTTTTTATTGCAGCTTGGTGACTATCCTGTCTCTAGAAATATTGGTGCGCATGGGGAATCACAGTTCATCAGATCTGCGGTGGAGTATGGCTTGCTCCAGAACTTTATATGCAGCACACTAACGTCCATTCCAAATCTGAGTCAGTGCATTTACATTAATATAATGTGTAACAAGTACCTAGCAGTAGAATTATATTTAAAAAATTATATGACTACTTTAAATGATGAAATTCATGCTTTTTCATACCTTCTATTTTCTGAACATTCTACAGTGTATTCAGTAGTAAAGTATTCTTATATTTTCCCTTAGATAAAGTAGGTAAAGGGTAATAATAAACATCTGTACCCTTACTAAAAGGAGGGAATCATAATGGGAACACGAATTAATGGAATAATTCTTCTTCTCCTCCCCCCCATTCCTCCCCCCTCTCTCCTCCTTCTCCTCCTTATTTACTGTAGTACTCTGGATTGAACACAGGGCCTTTACACTGAAGTACATCCCCAGCCTTTTAAAACTTTTATTTTGAGATAAGGTCTCACTAAGCTACTAAATGCCCCAGGTGTGCTTGAACTTCAATGCCCCTGCCTCAGGCTTCCATAGTTCTGGAATTACTATGCATGGCACCATGCCTGATTGCATTGAACATATTTCACATAAAATATTAATTGTCTTAAAGCAGAGTTATTATGACTGACTTTGAATCCTTTACTGAACTTTCAGTCCCTGAATATTTTTATTTGAACAGTGGCCCAATCATATTTTGGGGTTAAATTACTCTATAAAGAAACACTCAAAACTCTCCATTTAACAGAAATGGAAGCTCCTTCATATGTGTGTTTTGGGGCTGTCACTAAAATCACTGAAAATATCAGGAGACAAACTTGAAAGTCCTTATTGAAGTTAACTTTGTTTCTTTTAGCTTACCAGAAAAGGCCAGCCAATCAACAGCTTTATTTCTGCAACATCATCAGTTACCAGGGGGTGCTGCTCTAGGAGGTGCCTAGAGAATCACAGCAGTTTTCGTTGTTCACATATCTGGAGGGATCGCAGGACTTTAATTTCAACTGTGAAGTTAAATACTTTCCCCAAATCAACAACACTAAATTGTGACCAAATTGAAGCTCTCCTACTTTCAGTGTTCTTCCCTCCACCACTTTTACTCCTATCACCTTCACCCGTGGAGATGTTTAAGTAGCTCTGTCTTCCAGGGAGGGCTGAAGTCTGCTGCTACAAGGCTCAAACCTGCGAATGCAGCACCATCCAGCACAGAGCTGGTTCACCATAGTAGTCCAATTAAAATGTTTCAGATGTGACTGAATCAGATCTTTAAACTATGAAATAAAAAGTCCTTTTAATGAAGGAAATTGTAAGTTTCTGAAGAGGACCTTCATTTTGAAACTCTGACTAGCAACTGATGATGCTATTCACCTCTGATGCTGATTGGTTCTTCCACACTGAGTTTACCCAACCAGGCACCAAAGAAATGAACTTCTTGGTTATTATTATTTGGAATGTAGGTGGACGGGGACATATTTTTCCCTGAGACTTAACTGCTCTTCTCTGACCAGTCCTGTCCTGTTCTCCAGCATGCTGTGCCTGGGGCTCCCTGGAGGCTCCCTCATGGCAGCCCTGACGGTGACCCTGATGGTGCTGAGTCCACTCCTGGCTTTGGCCAGGGACACCCGACGTAAGTGGCCCTTAGATGGTGAGCTGTGGTAGCTGGGAGTAGGAATGGAGTTAATTTTCTTACTGTGTCCAGGCCAACTTCCTTAAAACTTGAGACATTTGCTTTGGTGAACAATTACCTTCATTATATGGATTCTAAGCTATTTCCAGCAATAGGAGCCTGGATGCTTGTCCTTCCTGTGAGACCCATGTGAGAGAATTTTTACAGAAGCCATTTCTTAAGTCTTCTCCAGTAAAAACTCCAGACTCAAATCACATTCTCTCAGAGCCTTGAGAGGATTTAGGAATAAGGACGTTAAACTAATTTCCAAATATAGCACCTCCCTATATTATGTTGTGTTATGTCAAAAAAGAGAAGATTTCTCTTTAAAAAGAGAACTCTATATGTATAATTCTATTATATTTTATGCATATAACTGTGTTCTCTCTTTTAGTAGAAGATAGTAAACTATTCTACTTTAAAAGGTTTCTCCAAAAATTTTACGTGGAGCCTAAATTTGAATGGTTTCCCCAGAGATCCCGTGTTCCTTCCTCAGTGAGGTCGATGCTGATGCCCCTGTCATCCCGAGAGGCGACCTCTGTCACCTTCCCTCTTTCTTCCTGAGCTCCAGGAGTTGAGCCCGAACCGCTGAGTGGGGGCTGTGATGCCAGTGGGGGTTAGTGCTCTCTCGCCTGCTCTTAGCAGCCGGCAGTGGAATTAGAGGTTCTTTGTACTTCAAATTACCCGGTAGAAAATCAGCATCTGTGGGATGTTCTTTGTTGTCTCACATTCGGGTCTGGGCACCTGACATAGCGTAGGGTTCATTTTATTGATCTCCTTTGAACCTTTCTATACCATCAATTTCTTCTCACATCCTACATACTCTGGCTTGAACACACCAAATGGTTTGAACTAGTTTGGATAAAAGGGATGAAAATCTGTATTTAAGTAAAAAATAATCAAACTATGAGTAATGTTTTGTGCCTCAAAGCATATGTACTAGCAGGAGTACAGAGAGAGTGTGGAGGTTAATACCATCTCATGAGGCTTAAAGCCAATAAGCAAGGAAAGGAAACTCATTGGCATATTGGCCTATTGGATCTTTACCCAAAGGTCATAGTTTTGCGGGGGTTTTTGTTTTTCTTTTTTTGCATTGTGCCCTCTCTTTTTCCTAATTAGCCATGGTGGATTAGCTCGACTTCCACTACTTTCCTATTCTTTCACCAGCAAGGCTGTTACTTTTACTGAAAATATTTGAAATTTGCACAGATTTTCAGCTCTATAGGAGATCCATTAGAGAAGATAAATTTTAAGGAAAATTTCCCTCTTTTTCTTCCGGTTGCATTTTCTATACCTGTGAATACCTAGAATCAGAGGGACTTAACAAGACCATGTTTGTCTGAGTTCCTCACAGGAAGCAGGAGAGATGGGGAGGTCATCAGAGTAAAAGAGTGTTGGAACTTGAGCTCCTTCCTCCTTTCTACAGCCTCACAGTGATTGGTTCACAGAACACTGGCTGCTTCCTTTAGACCACAGGAAATTTTCTGAGCAAGGATTGTATCCTGAACTCTGTAGTAGAATCATAACATTATACTTGAATAAGATAGAAAAGGCCTCTACTCACAGAGTTCACCTAATGCCAGGGAAGAAAGACAATAACCCAAGAAATATTTGACAGAAAACAAAATTTCAGAGAGCAGAAGTACTCTGATGAAATGATATTAAGGCAATGGGACAGAGAGAATGGATTCTCCAAACTCCACTCCACATGTGAAGGAGCTCTCCCTGAGCAGGTGGCATTTAGCCAAGACTGCAATAAAGAGAAGAAGCCAGTCAGGTGCAGACCTAAGGGACAAGTGCTCCGTGGACACGCGCAAGGGACAGGATAAGGTGCGGGAAGATGCGTGACGTGTGTAGGGGACAGAAAGAAAGCTGGAGTGGCTGAAGGGTGGTGAGCGAGGCATTGGGCTGGGGTTGGGTGAGGTGAGGGAGGTTGCAGAGGCCTCAGCACATCCTCAGATTAGGCCATGACAGTCAGGGTACGAGACGTGACTCGCGTGTATCCAGATAGGGAGATCTGCAGGACCATTGCATGGAATGTAAATTTATATTCAATTCTATGACACAATTGCAGCTTCTGTGTGGCGATTAGATTGTTGTGGGGAGCAGAGAGACTATTGAGGGGCACAATCGAGTTCTCCAGGGAAGACAAGCTTGGGCTTCATCAAGCGTGGCTATGATGAAGATCGTGATGCAGATAAAGAATTTGGGGTAGGTTTTTGCATATTTTGACAATGAATTAGATGTAAGCTCAGGTCAAAAATCAAACTTCTCAGAATTTTGTCTGAAATAAATACATAGATGGAGTGCTGCTTACTTAAACTGATGGGGTCACAATGGAAAATGGCTCATTAGAAGTAGAGATTTTAGTCCAGTTAAAATTGAGGTTCTTTTGGCATTATGTAGACCCATAAATAGATGAATTTACGCATCTGCAGTTCAGGATGAGGTCCAGTCTGGAAGTGTGCTTGCTGACGTTATTGACACAGATACTGTATTGAATTCCAGAAAAGTCAAAGAGGTTATGAAGAAGAGACTGTGTACAAAACAAGAAAAAGGAAAGGACCAAGAAAGCAGATTGAGAAGGAGGAACAGTGATTTGGAGGAAAACCAGGGAAATGTGATGCATGGAAGTGAGGGACAATAGAGTATTCCCAGGAGGAGGGAGTGGCCAGTGGTGGGAGGACGACAGAGGAGGTAAGGGGGCAGCGTGACAGAAGTGTTTCCTGGGTACCACAGATTTCTCCTTTGCAGTGTGTTGAGCATTCAGGGCGGAAAGTGATTGGAGTATTTGAGGGAGAGAATGGGAACTACAGAAGTGAACGCTGGAGTGAAGATGCCTTTGAGTAGCTGGGCTCAGGGAAAGATTGTGCCTTGGGCCTAGGGACACTTGGACATAATGTGACAGGGTAAGGATCTTGAAGAGAAGTGAGGACCAGTCAGAGGTGGGAGCACAGGCTGACCTATGCACCATGTCGACCTGTTATGCAAGGCATTATTCACATAGCCAGTGCACACTTACTTATTAATCAATTTGAATACAGCAGTTATTACCCTGGTGCTATGATTGAGATTAAGAATGTCCCTGAAGGCCTCATGTGCTCATAGGGAGGGCTTTTGGAAGGTGACTGAATGGGAGTGATATGGTTTTCTTGCTGTGGGACATGGGGTCAGGTCAGAAGAGGGAGTTGCCTGGGTGTGACCTGGAAGGAGGAGCCTCCCTCCCTGGCTCCTCCCCCTTTCTCTGCTTCCTGCCTACCCTGCCATGAGCAGCCTTCCTCTGCCAGGCCCTTCTGCCAGGCCCTTCCCCCAGGCCATCTCTCTGTCGAGGCTGCCCAAATGGCCCGAAACTTCTGACACTATGAGAAAAAAACTAGCCCATCTGCATGTGAGCTGTGGGTGTCCACTACTGTGCCTCAGCAGTGAGGAAGTGCCTAAGAACCTAGTGGTGAGACAGGAAGGAGGAAAATCGTAATCCAGTCTCTGTCAGGATGGAATCTTGTAGCATTGAAGTGGCTTATATGTTTCAGTATGTCATTCCACTAACTTTTCTATCATATGGTGAGCGTTTTAAAACATATATATGGAATCTAAAATTTACAGGGCTTATGCAGTGTTACACAGTGCTAGCAGAAAGATTACAGTGCAAATTGGGGGACATGGAACACCCCTGTGTTCTGCTGCAACAGACTCCTGTACGTTAGGCTCGTGTGTGCTACGTGAGTGTATGAGGCCAGTGTTTCTGCCTTCTGTGCTCACAATGCAATGAGAGATAAAATAATATTAAACAATTGCTAATTTATGGTGAAGGAATTATTTATTGAAGAAAACTGAAGAATCAAAGTTCTTGTGAGTTTCCCTTCATGAATTTATGAAAATTAAAATGATAATGTGTGTATAGTGTATTTACTTTGTGATCAGCATTAGAAAGAGCCACTCATATCACACTTATCAATACACCTCTGAGTAATATACTCTTATTAAGTCCAATGTAACTGTCAGGGGAAAGCCCATGGATGGTGAAAGTAGACCCACGCAAAAAAGTACAAGTTGGGTTCAGCTTCTCGTGATTCTCAGGTCTTGGCTTTGAACCACATTAGTGACTATTGGCTACATGGAGTTAAAATATTGGTAAAGTTTTTGGTGTTGGCATGCACCCATAAATTTCTTAGCAGTGGAAAATACTGGAAGAATTGCTACTTTCAAAACATAGAAAACTTTGAATTTCACTTTGCTTTTATTATTTGGAAAGTTCCACCTGAACTCATTCTATGTGTAGCCTCTCATGGGCCTGTGTTGAAGAACGTGCAGAAGCTTTGGATCCATTCCACTTTCTTTGGTTAGTGTTCGTAAGTTGCAGGATGGCCAGATAAATCTTAATTTCAAATACAAAACAATAATTTAAGGGGACATCCTAAGTTTTTATTTCCTTAATATGGCAATAGCATACTGGACACAGCTGGGGTGGGGCAGGATAACCATGGATGAACACCAGTAAGCGCAGGGGAAAAACAGACAAGTGAGAGAGATTAGCTACTTCACAGCTTTATTTTTTCTTGTTTGTCAAGAAGGTGCCTAGAGAATTTGTGCTTAATGAGGGAGACCTTGTCTGATCTTGAATTCACCCTCTATGTCATCATTTCTCCATGGCGAATGGAGTTTTGGTCTCGGACCTGCTCCCTTTTTATAAAGTGTGTCTATGAGGACACATCTTCTCAGCTTCTCCAAAGAGGAGAGTCCTCCACCTGGCCAAGGCTGATACATGGATGTGCATTGGGAGCTGCAGACACACAGACAGAGCACAGAAGGGTGTGACCACTGATCGTTTGTGAAATGGGCCACCGGAGGGACCGCAGTCAGGAAGGGGACCCGAAGGATCACCCAATATTGGCTTGGTGATGTTGACAAGGCAAAGAATTCAGTTAAATAATTTAAAGTTTCATGCTTTGAGTAACTGAAAAACTGTATATGATAACTGATACATATTTCAGCTAATATGCAAATGTACATCAACATCATATACTATATATGTATTGTACATATATGTCTAATATATAATACATATGCACATATATATCCTACAATCAAATGAAAAGAAAAGGAAAGAGTTAAAAAGTTCAACTATATTTGTCTAGAGTGAAATTAGTAGAGTTCCTACATACAACTGATTCATTGACAGGATTTTGGTTTGGTTTGGGAGAACATGAGGCGATACTATGTAATGAGGATATGACAGATGTTAACCAATTCTGATCATTTCAAAAGGATAGTAGAAGTCTCAAAGATGAAGTCGCTAATATTATTGAAAATTTCCAAGAAATTGAAATGACTGGGAAAAATAGACTCTATTCAGCAATTTTGAGATTAGTGTAATCTTTTGCTAAGACTTGTATGGTACCAATAACTCAGAAAATGTAGATTTAATTTTTTCCAGCAATTTTTTTATATAGGGGTAGCTCGTGATGAAATACTAGGATAACACATCCAGATTTCCCGGTTTTAAAAACTTGTTCAACTTGTCATGCCATACGTAATTGTGGGCAAGAATTTTAACCCCTTCATTCTTTAGATGCTTTCATCATCAAGTAGGAATATAATATTTATTTTCTAGAGGTGTTTGAGGATTAGATATATGACGTTTTACAGCATTAAGAACCGTGCCTTTCACATTGTGTACTTACTTCTGTGCAAGCTGTTTTCATCCTATCTGTCCAGAAGTCCCAGGAATTCGGCCTCCAAAGTGGTCTACAGCTCCCTGTCACCTTTTGTGTTCTAACTACTGCCCTAGTCCTGGCTATCATCCTCTTGTACCTGGATTACACTAGAAGTCACCAAACTCATTTCCTTCTTTCTACTCTTGCTTTTTTAAAATGAAAACCATTCTTTATACTGTCATCAGTGACATCTCAAGTACAGTGGTACCTCAGTTCATGAACTCAATTCTTTCCACTGTTCTAGTTGCAAACTGACTTGGATGAGAACTGAATCACATTCAATGGTTAGGTTCATTGTTGACCTTATGTGGAAATTTGATTTGGTTCTCATCCAGGTTGGTTTGAGACCAGAATCTTGGAAAGACTTGAGCTCATGAACCAAGGTATATATATAGATAGATGCACAATTCTCCTTCTGAAACTGTGGGGGAAATTAGAATTTTGGAAATAAACAACTAATACTGCATTTCCCAATTAATTATAGAGCATTTTCAGTGGATATAGGTAGTAACCTGTAACTAAGCACATTGTTTCTACCAACCAAACCATAGATATCTGCGCTCAGGATGTAAAGAAAGAAATGGTATTCTAATAAATTTGCACAATAAAAATGGTAAATGAAGTAGAAGAATAAATACACAATAAGTTTTAGTACATTTTTCCTTAATAAACTCTTTGCTAATAGCTTATACTTGTATATAACTCACATTAACTTAAACACCGTGTCATCGTAATACGTTATCATAGCTATTACATTTCATTGCCGGAAGATCTCAGAAACCTGCGTCAGCGTCAGTATTTTCTCCACTAGCAAACTGCGCTGGGCACGCCATGATTTCAGTGAGTGAGATCCACCAGTAGTGGATGCAGCAGCGCTGTCTGCGTTGCCACCTATTGCTGTTTCCGGTGTGTCAGCTCCGCCTCTCTAGGAGCCCTCTCTGAGGAAGCTATGATGGTCTCTAGCTGCAGTGAGCACACATGGCTCAGGGTGCAGGTTAGCTGATCCCCTGTTCTCACAGCGTCACCTCTGAGAATCTCTCCCTGTGCTCTCAGTGCCCCCACCTGCATCTACCCAGCACTCGGGCTGTGTCTGACAGGGGTGTGATGGTCCATGCTCACTGTCTGTCTCAGACTTACTCATATTTTTATGTGATAAGCTTTTGTTATATATTGAAATTGATATGATTTATTCTCATTGATGGCATCATAGTTTACACAGGCTTTCTCTGCTGTTCACTTATGAACATCAGCACAAGTCTGTGACAGACATCTGTTGAGGCTGATTTATTAAGTATGAACTGTAAAATAACGTCTAACAACTGCTTTGTCCAAATGCTGCGGTTCCTCAGGCCTCTTTACACTGCAGTAAGCAGAGAGGTTGAAATCTCTCCATATCTGCTTCCTACGGGACGAGTTTCCTTGGCCTGAGACTTCACCTCAGGTGTCATCCTGGGGAGATTCCTCCTCACTTCTCAGCAGCTACCAAGGAGTGTGGTGTGTGGACCACTGCACAGGGACAAGGAAATTTAGTTTTCTCACAGCCCAGCTTGCTTGCAGTGAATTTAAGCCCCACAGAATGGAATTGAGCCAGTCCAAAAATATATCTATGATTATCCAAAATTTCTTCTGTAAAGAATAATTCACAAGTGAGATATAATTTTCAGACATTGTCATTTTGGTTTTTTTCAGTTATTATCACTTTTTTTCTCATCGTGGATTTTTCAGATGATTTACACCAGTGGTCTCACCCAGGGAGAGTTTTGCCTCTCACTCCCCACCTTCCGAGCCCCAGTACTGGCAGGGGATATTTGGGGAATTATCCCATCCAAACCACCAAGAGTCCTCAGGTTGAAACACTGACTTTCAGTGTGCTGCTTCTAAACATTCTGGAGTCACATGTTATGCAGAGTTCTCCCTTAGCAGTTCAGTTCATTGTGGTTTATTTCACCTTATTTCATTAGTAAAAGAAAGAAGTTAAATTAGTCTGTTTTAGAACTCTGCCGTGTTGAATCTATTCAGTCAATGCAAGTTTAAGATCTTTACCTTTTATCTTTGAAAGTTTTCAATGTTTCCTCATGTTTTATGCGTTCTTGGTCATCGCTAACTGTTACTTATGAAAATCCTGTGTTTATATATTACAAAGTAAAGATTGATGCTGTACTTTGGGTGTTCTCCAAAAGTCCATGTGTTAACGGCTTGGGCTTCAGCTTAGTAGAAGCTTGAAGGTGTGGCCTAATGGGAGGTTTTAGCTCATGCAAGCGGAGCCCTCAAAGGGAAATGTGGGGTGCCAGTATCTTTTCTTTGTTTCATGCCCCAGCCGTGAGATGAACATTTGGTTCTCTACATGCCCCCTGCCATGTTACACTGCTCCACTGGCACAAAAGCAATGGGTCCGCCTAACCATGGACTGAAACATCCCTATCATGAGCCAAAATATATCTTTCTTCTTTATAAGTTGGTTATCTCAGATATTTTGTTACTGTGATGGAAAACTAATACAATTGGCACAAATATTGTTCCGTAATGTGCTTCAAAGTTTTGCAGTGATTCTGTATTCTTTCCTATTGATAATCCCAAATGGTTGCATGAATTTGGTCATATTTATTATTTATTTAAAAAACTCTTTGACCTTTTAAAGTTAAAACCACAATATATATATATATATATATATATATATATACACACACACACACACACACACACACATACATATACATACATACATACATATGATATATAAGATATGATAGAAAAAGGGGTTTAAATATTTTTAAAATATTATAGTTAAACACGCATTGCCTTTAGTTTCCCACAAAATATTCCTGCTTGGTTTCAACACCTTATCCCATTGTTCTTGACCCTTTCTGAACAGTTCTGGAAGTCACTTTTTGTGTCTTCAGTCGCACTGTCCTGGCTCCTTCATCAATTCAAAACGTTCACCTTCCATGGTCATTTTGAGTTTGGGGAAGAGCCAGACTCACATGGTGGCAGGTCTATGGAGATGGGTCGGGTGGATGAGGATACACCGTAATGGTTTTCACGATCCTGCCTTGCTGCTGGATGTTGGATGGCACTTGGCAGCACCAGTCACTATATTTGTAAAAATCACACCCTCTGCAGACAGTAAGGAGAATGTCCACAACTGCTTCAGGGTAAGAGAAATACTTTTGTAGGGTTGATTCTATTGGTGTGTGTTAGATATACATAATGATCACATTCAGCATAGGGAATTTGTACCTGTACATGGTGCGTCTTGCTGTTTCTTTTCTTCCCACCCTCCTTCCCTCCCTTCAACGCCCCCTACCATTTACCAAATCTTTGTTTCCATTTTTTCCTTTCTATTCTTTTTTTCTTTTCCCTTCCTTTCTTCCCCCTCCACCCTCCCTTGTTCCCTTCCTCTCTGGGACAGGCAGGTTTAAGTATCGAATTGTTTCTCTGGTTTGAGAAACCAAAAGCATAAATAAGAACCAAAATGTATAATAGATATAATCCCAGTCGGGCTGTGGGCGGGGCGGGGCAGGGCTGGGATGGGGTCGGGAGGAGCGGGGTCCCCTCCCCGGATCCTCTGCCCGGAGGGGACCCCGTGGCCGGGAGCTGGTGTTCGCGCGTGGCTGGCGGTGTCCTTCCCGGAGGGTGGGGCTGACCAGGTCCCTGCTGCCCACAGCGCGTTTCGTGGAGCAAGTTAAACATGAGTGTCACTTCTCCAACGGGACGGAGCGGGTGCGGTTCCTGGACAGATACATCCACAACCGCGAGGAGTTCGCGCGCTTCGACAGCGAGGTGGGCGAGTACCGCGCCGTGACCGAGCTGGGGCGGCCGGACGCCGAGTACTGGAACAGCCAGAAGGAGCTCCTGGAGCGGAGGCGCGCCGAGCTGGACACGTACTGCAGACACAACTACGGGGTTGCTGAGAGCTTCACTGTGCAGAGGAGAGGTGAGCGTGGGCCCTGGGCAGCCCTGGAGAGGAGGGGAAGGGAGAGAGGGAGAGAGGAAGAGCGCGCTGTGTGTCCCTGCCCTACCTGGCTGACCCTGCACTGAGCGGGGCAGGGCTGAGCTGCAGGACAGGGAGGGGCAGGGGGGGCTGAGCCAGGGCTGAGGCCCGGGAAGCAGGGATTGGGGTGAAGGCTGAGAGTCAGAGGGGGCCCAGGAATGCAGCATCTTTGGTTGGGGTGCAGGTGCAGGGACACGGGGGGCAGCGGTTGGGGTGCTGTGGGGGGCTGCGTTCCCCCGGCCTGGGCTCCCAGCCTTCTCTAGAGTGGAGCCCGGAACACAAGTGCGCCGCGTGCACAGCACTCTTCAGGGAGCAAGAGTGTGGGCTCCGCTCCTGTGGGGTGAGCACCTGTGACCTTCCCCAGGCCTCCTGTGGCCTCAGTTTCCGGTTTTGGCTGAGTGCTTGCCTGGCTGCTGTACACTCCTGTCCGTCCTTGAAGAGATGGGAGGACTGGATTTTGATCATAGTTTTGTTACTTAACATATTAATGCTACGATTTTTATAAGTAATAGCACTGAGGTGGCTGAGTATTATTTCTGTCTGTAATTGTAACCTAACCTGCGATTGCAGTTGGTGAGACCATTAAGTACTAACAAATTCAGTTTTCCCTTAGCGTGCTGTGCGGGGTGTTTCCTTGAATATCAAAATCTGAAAAAATATTCCAGGGCTGTATAAAGTGGTGTAATATTTGCATATAACTTATGTATATCCTCTTTTTATTTCAAAACATGTCTAAATTGCTTATAATACCCAACACTGTATAAATGGTATCTTACATAGTTGTCATATTGTTTGAAAAAAATGACAAAAAAGTGACTATGTTCAGTATGTATTTTTCAATATTTTTCTACATAGATGGATGAATTCCCCAATGGGGAACCCTTGGATGTAGAGTTCCACCGTACTCTAAAACATTATATTTTTAAGTTTTAACATTGATTTTTCTGATTTATAAGATTTGTGAACACTCTTTGACACTTATTTCCAAATACTATTACTGTAACAATTATTTCTTTCCTATTCTCTGGGTTCCTACAGTTTTCTAAATGATTTTTTTGGATTTTTTTAAATGTAGAAATATTCTTACTACCTTCTTGCTATTTTATTCAGCATTTTCTCCATTTCCTGATTTATATTTCATTTCTGCTTATACTCTTCATGTTCAACATAAACACTTTATTAATAAAATATGATGCAGAATTGTCATTAATAATTTAATAACAATCTTCTGCCTGTATTTTCTGGTATTGTGGAAAAGTGTCCTTTTCTAAAAATGCATTTACTGAGGTTGGTATTGTGAGGGATTGTAGCAGGCGTGAAGCACACATATTAGTAAGTCCCAGACACCATGTTGACCACAAACATCAGTTTAGAAACCCGAACTTAATGTGACTTGGTAACAGTAGACAGGTGTGTTTGGTAAAGGAGAGTCATCCTCAGCTGAGTGCGGAGGGGTCTTCTAAGGATCGGTTTCCCCTCTGCTCCCCTCTCCTCAGGACTCCTGAACTTCTGGGACTCAGCTCCCGCCTTAGGGTCACCTCGCTGTCCCTTCTTCCCGGTGTGCAGCCCTCCTGGCACCGGAAGTGAGACAGTGGAGAGGGGTCCATGCTCCGCCCCCTTCCTACTCCACTGCTCCTCCCAGGTTCCCCTGCTGGTGTGGCTCATTTTCTCACACAGGAAACGGGGATGATAAACAAGGAAGATACTTCCATGGCTAAATTCTGGTCCAGGCTTTATGTATTTTAGTTGCTTTAATTCTAATAAAACACTAAATGGTCAATCAGTGTCCTTATACCCAATACCGGTGAGAAAACTGAGTCACCAAGAAATGTAAAAATCTCTTTCAGGATTAGCCAGGGAGAGTCAGAGCCAGGATGGGAACCCGGGCAGTCTGGCTCCAGAAATCCCACTTTTAATTAATATTTCATGCACTTTGGAAAGACCTGAAAACACTACTCAGTAGAGAATGGTCATGTCAAGCTATGAAAACTGTTCATTTCTTTTCAAACCCAGTGTGCCCCTGCTGTGAGGACTCAACTGCGGGCCCCTCACAGTGGCTCCTGGGGCCCTGGGCAGGTGTGAGGAGGGCCCATAGGGACCTGGGTGCCTTGCTGGAGAGGGGCAGAAAGGCAGCCAACCAAGCATTGCGCCGCCTGCCTGACTCCTTCTCTCTCCTTTTCTCCTCTAGTTGTGCCCAAGGTGACCCTGTACCCCACAAAGACCCAGCCCCTGCAGCATCACAACCTCCTGGTCTGCTCTGTGAGTGGCTTCTACCCAGGCCACATTGAGGTCAGATGGTTCCGGAACGGCCAGGAGGAGGAGGCCGGGGTGGTGTCCACAGGCCTGATCCAGAACGGGGACTGGACCTTCCAGACCCTGGTCATGCTGGAAACAGTTCCTCAGAGTGGAGAGGTGTATGCCTGCCAGGTGGAGCACCCGAGCTGGAGCAGCCCTGTCACCGTGGAGTGGAGTGAGTGGGAAGCCCCAACCTTACAAGCTCCTGTCCTACCCACAAGGGCTCTTCCCTCATCCCTGCGTGTGAAGTTTCTCTGCTCTGTACAATATTTTCATCTGTTCCATGTCTCTGCTTCAGGACAATTCATGGGGTGGAACTGGGAGAGTTTCCACCAACTCTTGTACGCCTTCCGCGTGCAGTTATGCCTGTCACGCAGAAGAGAAGAGTCCCTGCTTTGCACCTTCTCGTGCCATCAGTGGTCATGGTCACCCCTCGGCCCTGACACCAGACCCGTCCCCTGGGCTGGGCCTGTGTTTCTGCTGCTTTGGGGGCTCTGGGCTGCTCACTGTGGTCTGGAGGAGGAGCCATGCTGGGTCCTCCTGGCAGCAGCAGAGTGGGCCCTCAGCCCTTCCCTTCATCAGCTCTGTCATCCTAGAGGGCTGCTCGGCTCACTGAGCTCAGGTCCCTGCTCACGTCTGGGATATTGCAGGGCTGTGAGATGTAAATGAATTCAGGGTATGAGCTTTATACCTATTCAATAGAAATTTAAATATTTCACCCCAACCATGGCCAATTTTAGCTTTTGAATGCAGCCATTTTCCCTCTAGTCTTAAAATTCTGAATTTCAGGGTCTCAATGAAGAAACTTGAACCTATGGTTTAAAAAAAACCTCGCTAAAGCCCATGTCTTCTCCCAGGGGCACAGTCTGCATCTGCACGGAGCAAGATGCTGAGCGGAGTCGGGGGCTTTGTGCTGGGGCTGCTCTTCCTTGGGGCGGGGCTGTTCATCTACCTCAGGAATCAGAAAGGTAAGGAGCCTCCTGGTGGCTGAGACTCTCCATATCCTTTCTGGGGCAAACAGACTGTTTTCCTGTGGTTAATTAAGTTCTTGGTATTCTGGGGTTCCTGGAAGAACCCAGTCTTCCCTCAGGTTATCTTCAATTTCCTGAGTGTTTAGAAATCAGTTGTTTATGGATCCTGTTTTGAAACCCAGGGGCTGTGCCCTGCAGAGACAAGGGACAGGCTGAGTGTCCTAGAAATGCTGGGTGGAGAGCTGTGGGTAAATAAGGAGGAGCCGCTGAGCAGGGCACTTACGGGGCAGGTGCTTCCTCAGTGGCATTCTCTCAGTTTGTGCTCCTTTCTGTTCCCTGGCAGGCAGAGGTTGTAGTGTCAGAGAAATCTCAGGTGACAGATCTGACACTGGGGACACTGTGTTTGGGGACAGGTTTGTCTTCATGTCTTTTTAGTGTCTATTTCTTCTCTCTTTCCAGGACACTCCGGAGTTCAACCAACAGGTAATGTCCTCGATTCTTCTCTCAAGACAGATTTGCTCTCTTTATAAGGAGCGGTAAGGGGGTGAGACAGGAAACAGAGATAATGGGAAAGATTTTGGATGCAAAGTTCTGATCAGGCAGCTGCCCTAAACCTTCTTCCTCCACTTAATAAAACCCAGTGCTCTGAGGTTGCATTGGTCAGAGAGTCTGAAGAGAGTTTTCTTTTCTTACTGCAATGCTGTCCTGAGAGGGGAGAGGAGCTGCATTCAGGTAAGGTCAGGAATCACTGCTGCCCTCTGTCCCTGCAGGACTCCTGAGCTGAAGTGAAGGTGGCAGCGCTGAAGGAAGGCCCTGTGTCCCTGCTTCTGCTCGTCCTGACCGGCTTCCTGCTCACCTCTCATTCTCCACTGAGAGAGGCCCAGGATCACACAGTCCTGGCCCAGCTGGGAGCCCTGGCGCTGGCTGCAGGACTTCCCTTCACTCTCTCCTGGCCCCTCTGTGTTCACCATTTACCTCCTCCAGCGCTTCTGAACTCACCTTGGGGATCATTGCTTTGTTATTTTGTTCTGAAATAAACATGGAGTGAAAAATCTTCTGCTTCCTAGAGTTTTGAGAACAAAAAACAAAAGAGGATAGGAGAGTTATGCTTTGGGTCTAAGTGTCCCCTCCATGTCCACCTCTGTGGTCACAGGTGGCTTTTTCAGAAGTGGCTCCGTCTGGAGTGTGTGATGCTGGGATTAAGGACATGTGATTGCTCAACTAGCACACTGATTGGTTTGGCAGCACCCTAATCCCAGTAGCCAGATAGGATGAAAGGGACAGAGAGACCCTGTTAAGTTTTCCTTGTTTCTTTTGCTACCATTTGTCTGCCAGGAACTGTTTCTCCTCTGCAGTGCCCCTCTGCCATGTGCCACTCTGCGTTGGAGCCAGCTGATTATGGAGTGAAACTTATATAAATTGTGAGCTAAGTAAACCCTTTCCCTCTCACTTTGGGTGTCGGGTATTTTGTCTCAGCAACAAGAGAAACGTAACTGAGATAGACATTTAGTACTGGGAATGGGGCCGTTGCCATGACTGTACCTGACCATGTGGTTCAGGAGCCTTTGGGAATGGCTTGTGGGAAGAGTTTGGAAAGGTTCAGAGTAGCTGGCTGAAAAAGTAGAGCTGGAACACCGTAGGTGGTACTTGATGGGAGATTCTGGTCGGAGCTCAGAAGACCAGAAGGCTGACAGAAACTCTGGTGAAGACCAGGCTCAGGAGGTTTCTGCTGGGAAGAAGGACTGCACTGGCTATTGGACTCCAGACGATGTGTGTTATTGCTATGGCTAAAATTTTGTCTGTATTTTGCTTGTGTCCAGAGACTTTGCCTAAGACAGATTAAGGCTGTTGGGTAATTAATCTTGTAGAAGAAATTTCAAGGCAGTCAAATGTTGAGGCCGTGGCATAGCTACTGTTGGGGGCTTTTAGCCAGATCTATGTTGAGAATCAAGAGCAAAGACCTCAGCAGAATGATTTAGAATGTTGTGAATTTTTCTAGAAAGGAAGCTCCAGTAAAGGTGTGGACTGCAAAGATCGAGATCTTGATTGCTGAGAAGGAACAGGAGAATAGAAAAGGTGGCCTGAGGGCATCACAAGAAGCATCAGGACTCCCGCCTTTGCAGCCTCAAAATTGCAAAAGTGAAAAACTTTGCTTTGAGAAGAGAGCCCCAGAGCACCATGTTCTAGAATGGGAGCAGCCTAGAGAAGTTGTTCGTGGGGATTGGGTTCAGAGTGCTCAGCAATCCAGGTACAAGGCTCTTATAGCAAAGAGAGAGGGAATCCTGGCTACAGCTCCAGCTGGCAGCAGCCCTTGATGTCATCCACATGGCACTGGTTTTAGGTGGATGCACAATGCAAGAGTCGTGGGGTCAGGAAGGCTTCCACCCAGATTTCAGAAGAAGGCCTGGGAGGCAGGCAGCGTGCCTGAGAGGGCGGAGTGTGAAGCTGTGAGGGTGAAGCTGAAGGTGCAGTGGAGACCCCAGGTGTTTGAAGAATCCAGGAATGTGGATCATTTGAGGAAAACTGCAAAGAAGGAGCAGAGCTGTCCCAAGGGAGAAGCCATTGGCGCTACAACTACCAGTAGTGTTTTAGGGGCAGAGCCCCCCAAACCCTTTGGAATTCACAGCTTGCCTCAGATTGCCTCAGATGCTGGAAGTGAAATTGTGGGATTTAATGTTTGCCCCACTGGATTTTGGTCTTGTTTTGTTTGCATTCCTTCCTATCCCAGTCTGTACCTTTTGGAATGGTAATGTCCATCTTGTGCCATGGAATGTTGGAAGTGTTTAGTGTTCTTTTCATTTATATAGAGGCTTGCAGCTAAGAATTTGTTTTAAATCTCAGAGGAGACTTTGGACTTGCACTATTCAGAGTGCTGAAACTATTAAGACTTTGGCAACTCTTAAGGATGGACTCAGTTCTTTTGGTGTAAATTAATATACATGCCTCTTTTGGGGGGCCAGGGGTGGAATGTTATGCTTTGGGTCTAGATGTCCCCCTAAAGCCTCGTGTGATCATGGGTGCCGTTTTCAGAGGTGGCTGACTCTAGAGTGTGAGATGCTGGGATTAAGGACGTGTAATTACTAAACTATTACACTGATTGGTTTGGCATCGCCCTAATCCCGGTAACCTGGATAGGATAAAAGGAGCAGAGAGACACTGTTAAAGTTCCCTTGTTGCTTTTGCTACCACATGGGTACCATGAATTGTTTCTCCTCTGCAATATCCCTCTGCCATGTGCCACTCTGCCTCGTAGCCAGCCAGTTATGGAGTGAACCTTGTACAAACTGTGAGCTGGATAAACCCTTTCCTCTTTATATCTGGGTGTTGGGAATTTTGTCTTAGCAAGGAGAGAAAAGTGACTAAGACAAGGAGGATAACACCATAGTACAACTTGGCTTTCATTTATGTGTGATAATTGTGTTAGGGGATGCATGCATGTGTTAAGTACGTTGGGTTAGCCATTCCCCAGTGTCTACAGATAACACATCTCATGCTCTACAACATAAATATATACAGTTTTTACTTTCACTTAAAATACGTTTCTAAATTAGATTAAAATTTTAAAACTGAATGCCTAAAACTGCAAAATAGATTTATAACAAGTGAAACAAACTTGATCAGAATTATATGTCAAGATACGAACTGGAAAAATAAAAGCCCTTGCTCAAACATTATGTAAGTTTTGCAAATCAGTATACAGATCCCCACTGATAGATGTCACCACGTACATGATAGCTAAGTACAGCTAATACAGAGGAGCTGGATGCGTGTCAGGGGCAGCACATGCATTGGTTGAGAAAAGGAGAGTTCTGCTCTTCTGCTCCTTGCAAAGAGTTTCAAATATCAATGAAGTAAAAAAGTGAATATTTCAGAAGTTTATTTCAGAATAACAATCATTTGAACACAATGTATCCACTATCATATACAGTTCTTGTTCTTAAGTGAATTGAAACTCCTTTTTATGCCTATTTTGAATTACCTTGTGAGTCATTTGCACAAAGTTGATTTTCCTGTGTGAATTGCATAGGCTGATAGTGATGGCTGTTCTGCTACAACATGTGTCTCAACTTTACTGTGATTTTGTTCCCCAGAGGAAGAAATTATTTATCTCAATTTATGTGAGAACTGTGGTATGAAAATATGAAGTAGAATTAAAACATATGACAAAAATTTCAATCAAGATGCTTTATGCTCTGAAGAGCTGGAAATCCAGTCCAACTGTCCTGCTTTTCTTTACCTGACTGTGGCAGGGAGATGCTAGATCCCCCTGGGATGGCAGAAGGACAGCTGTAGCACCTTAGGTTCTCATGTTCTCTCACATCCATTTCTAATGGCAAGAAGGGGAAAGTCTTTCTGCTTGGGCATTTCTGTAAGGAGCATTTAACTTCTTCTGGAGGCCCGGGTAAAGCCACATCTTCATACCTGGGAAGGACCATGGGATTATTGTAGCACGCTCTCACAAACTGTCATTCATCCTTTGTGGAGTGGACCTGATGCCATGGCAATAGAAGGAGCAGAGTCATACTGTATTTCCCCAAAATAAGATCTAATTGGAAAACACGCCCCAGCATGATGTTTCAGGATGCTCATAATGAAAGCCCTCCTCCAAAGTAAGCCAGATGGAGACGTTTAATGTGTCTGTTGCAACACTGACAGATGTATTTAATTATAAAAAAATAATATTAATATATAATTAAATATACATAAATCATCACCATTAGTATTTAAATAAATGTTAACATAAATTATAAAGTATTTGTAAGTACCCAAGCAGGCACCTTTGGATGAGAGAAAATTGCCTACATAAACAGATGTACCCGAGCCTTACTGCCACATGACCAACTGGAGCACAGACTCGTGCACAAGGAACATGCTTCCTTGGTGAAGGAGGGACACTGGATGTGCCTAACATGGACCTTCATTATTCGATCTGTCACATGTTGTAAAGGACATACTTAATACACTCATGTGAAATGGAGAAATGTTTTCTGAAGTCTGGTGCTTGCAATTTTTCATCAGTTTTGTGGACCATCACTCTTAAGAGTCACCATTTTTGTTGCTACTCTTTTCTGTAAGTCTTCAATTAACACTTGATTTAATGGAAACTTTGTGAAGCCCAACCTACAAGAGGTCATGACTCGGATGAGGAATTCATTGGGTAAAATCACTGACGCGTTCTATGGCTCTAGCATGAGCGTTGTTGCCTCTTCTTCAAAGCAGGTTCTCTGTGCCTCTGGGAGGCTTGTGGTCCCCGCTTGGTGCTGTGAAGATTAATGGTAGCACAATTTGTTTGCATTTGCTGGCTGTTTCTTTTCATTTTTGGCAATTAGCTATTGTGAAAAAAGCAGCACAATTAAATCCTAGTATTTGGGTTCCAGTAAATTTATAGCACTATCAAAAGATGTAACTCTTAAAGCACCATGTTTGACATGAGAAATGTGTCAAAGGTGATGCTATGAAACAGTACTGAACATTAGATTTTCTTGAGACGCTTAGGTCCCTCTTTAGTAAGTTACACAAACGTGTACTTGTATGTAAGATGTCTCACCTTAGACAACTCTTTGGTATTACTCTTCTGCCAATGTTATAGACCTTTCAGGGGGTTTTGAGAGAATATTCAGACATGAGTGGGGGTGATGGTGTACCTACCCATGATATTTTTCATCTCACTGGTCAGAGTGCATGGAAAGCTGACTATTACTCTGTTGAACCTTGCAGAGGTACTGGAAGGCCACTGCTGGAGGCAATGAGAAGACCCTTCTTCCTAATGGATCTCAGTGTGTCCAGGCACACTGATTCTTAGAGACACCAAGATATTTGAGGTTTAACACTTTAAGACCCTGTTTACTTGACTGTTTGGGTAATAGTTCAAAATGCAATACTGGAAGGTTTCTGAGTTTTACCTGGGTATAAATTTCAAATCGGAAGATTTAAAAGAAAGGAAACTCTTAGTTTGTGCTCATGAGAGTCTGACTTATCTCAAAATTAATTACTGGAGATACAAGAAGAAGCAGGGAAGAAATTGGGCAAATCAATCTATTGACAGTCTGGCTGAAACCAACAAATAGATTGTTTATGTTCATGTTGAAAGCTTGACTCAAATTCCATTTGGCCAAACACCAGAGCCGGGTCCACCATTTTACATATACGTTTCTGGACTGTTGATCCCATCCAAGCCAGAAGCAAGTCCTTCTTATGGATTGCCCTCCTACCCTAAGCTTTCCTGGCTTCACATTATCCTGCTCCTCTTCTCCATAGCCCATCTAGTTTCAGTATAGCCTGTGTGTTCTTTCTCCAACATTTCTAAAAATACTCAGCTCTAGGGGTGGCAGATATTTCGCCACAGCTAATTCGCCCTGATGCTGGTAGTTGTGGAAACATTACAAGAGAAGTCCTTTTATCTAGCTAGCATCTATAACTACTCAGTAAATTCTTTTATGTCAGGGATCCCTCAGTGTTGAGTTTTGAGGTTTACAAGAGCATGTTAGATTGTGCAGGTTGCCTGATATCCTTGCTGGGAAAACTTGCAATCATGGTTTCTAATTGTCCTTGCTGAGAACATTTGTGCTGAAGTCAACTGTATCTCTTTATTTTCCACAGAGTTTTATATTTTAACTTCATAAGTTTTGTAACAGTGATTTGTTAGAGGTTTGTCAAAGATGCCTACATGCCACAGAATTCTTACAACATTTCAAAGCTTACTTAAGCTTTTTTGATTACATCCAGGATTTTACAACCTACCAGAGATTTTAAATAGTTACATAGCAGTAATTCTGTCAAAGAAGAGGCAGAAAGAGGCACCCTTGGAAGCTGATTCAGTTTTACATTCCAATGCATAGTTCAGATGGCAGCTCAGCAAGTTTGTTTCTGAGGATCTGCAATCACATGGCTATTGTTATAGGTGAAAATGTCACAATCAAGATGAAAGATAACACAATCAATATCAGCATAGCACTGAAAGAAAGGCTGGTAATAAAAAGAATTTAGTATTTAACTTCTGTTCTGGAGGGAGCATAAGCCAACTGATATGTATTTGCATAAAGAACCAATTACCTGAAGGACTGGGTCTTGCTATACTTTTATGTTTCTTATAGCTTTAGAAATTATAGAATTGATAAGGAATTCTCACTTGTGGGGAAGCTTACAGTTTCTAACAGTTCTCATGCTGTCCTCTGATGTGCTTATTAGAAACCGTATCTCCACTGGTGAACGATACGGCCAAGAGTTCAGATCATTTTCATTAACTGATGTTCATGTCCTCATTATAAAATCCGATTTGACTCCTCTGAAGGCCTTCTATATAGGGTTGGGTCCAGATTCTGAGTTATAGGTGCTGACCGGTGTCTTTTGCACTCAGATCATCTTTAAAATCTCCAGAATTATGGGTAGTGGTGACAAGCTTTGCTCCTGTATCTTGCCTATGTCACTTATGGATTAAATATATGGCCAAAAAAAGTGACGGTTGCAATAGTTAAGGTCATGGGCTCCAATTTCCCCCAGACCACCCCGTTATAATGGAAGAGTTGCTTTGTGTGACAACCCGATCATGCAGTAAGAGGGGTCAACCCGAGAGGAGGAGGTCACTCTCCCTCTTGTGGAATCTTTGTGAATATTCAAGTTGATTTCATTTAGCTAAAATGTTAACTGGAATAATGTCACAAAATTTACCTTTCAAGAGTAGAAATTTGTTCATCTATAAGACCATTAAAAATCAGTGATGGAAACATTATTTATTTTGAATAATATAAATGGCATTCCTGGTGTTCACAGGATAGAGTAAAAAGTTCAATAGATTCACCCATTTCTTCACTGTCTATACCACCTGGAATAACAGGGCAGTGAATTAGCAGATTACCAAAATAGAATTTTGAAAACTAACCTGGCCAGTATTTGTACTGGGTAAAACATAGCTACTTTTCCACAGCCTAACTGACACAGATCTAGATGAAGGAGAAAGAAAATGAAAAGGTTAGCTATTAGACAATATTTATGGACAGGTCTATGATTCTAGCTGTTTTGTCTTTGAAGCTTAATGACAAACATGTTTTTAGAAAAAATAGTGGTATGTTCAGTAAGCATAAAACCTAGGCAAGTTTAATGAAGTTGAACCATTTGGAAGTTCAGGCAATACCATGTATTGTGTGGCAAAGTGTAACAACTGGCTTGGCCCAATGTTTTTCCATGGAGGTCTTTCCTCAGAATTTAGTGGTCAAGTTTTCTGACCCCTGAGACCACATTTTTATGACACATCTATGTCGAGAATCTTTATCTTCCACAGTAAGAAAAAATTGACCCTGCCTATCCATTTCTTATTATTTTTTCCTTTGATGTAGGGAGCAATGACTTACTTTTCATCTTAAGTTCCAGATTAGTGGTAGTTGCCCTCTGAAAACTGAAAATATCCTGACACCACTTAGACAAATGACAGACATTTTGTGCTAATTGTGATTTGATGAGAACTACACAAACTCATTTTTCAAGGTATCGTGAACTTTTTAGGTTTCCTACAAGTGATTCCTCGTCTGGGAAAGTTAATAGGACTCAAGACATCTGTAACATTACAAATTTCAACTTGCCTGTTGTTCAACAATACCTTCGATCAGGTTTTATTTGTTTATTCCGAACATTGTAACTTATTACACAAATAAAAAGATACTCCTTGCCTCACAGAGATGGTCACAGACTGTAAAAATTTCGGTGCTGATAACCACTTTCTTCCAGACACCAATTTAGCTGCATTTTGTTCAGGAAGTAAACTCTCACTGGACACTTGTTACACACAGCAGAAGTACACAGGACTGATTCTACTCTTGTGCTCAGCGATGAAGTTCACCTTAGAGATCACTTGAATAGTTGATGTTTTGGTAGCAATAAATGTTTTACCTGAGCTGTCATTATACTGGATTAATATTAAAGAATAGTGGGAGATACATAATATACAAAGCAGCACAGCTATGTAACTCAGAGTGTATACAACATGAAGAATTTAATTCATAGTTTTTGCTCCACTGTGATGACGTGTGAATTTGGTAAAAGTATAATGCGTAGAAAGCCCTCAGGGAAATTCTGAATACAAAGTAAAATGCTCAAGAGTCACTCAGTAAATGTCAGTGACTTTTATTGGAGCATGGTGATCTCTGTCCCTAGAAATATAAAGACAGATGATGACTGGTTGTCTGTGAGAACTGAAGTAGCGTGTAAATTAATGCTGAATCCCATAGGTGTAAGTTGTCCTTTAAAGTACATTCTAAACCTGAGACTTTACATTTACATTGATATAATGTGTAACATTACCTAATGATAGAATTACTGTTCATGAATTATATGATTACATTAAATGATGTAATTTATGTTTTTTTCTTAGTGTTTTATGTCCTGAACATTCTGATTCAATAGCAAAGGCTTCTTATGCTTCTTCTTAGAATAAGGAAAGGGGAGGAAGAGGGAAATGATCATATGCTCAGAACAACGAAAAAAAAATTACTGAGAGAACTTGGACTAGGACTGAACATTCTTTCACATAAGATATTAATCATCCCAAAAGGAGTTACTGTGTCAAAGCTTGACTCTGAGTCAACTGACCTGGCTTACTGTTGTCCAGTCAAAGCGTTGCTGCAACTGCATCAAACCTTTAAAGTATTAAATTAAAACAATCCTTTTAGGGAAGGAACTTGTAACTTTCAGAAACATACCTTCATACTGAATTTCTGCCCAGCAACATATGATGCTAAGTATCTCTGATGCTGATTGGGTCTTCAACACGGCAATTGCCCAGTGTTGCATGAGTGAGCATTGGTTCTCATTACTTAGGATGTGGATAGTAGAGGGCACAGTTCTCACTGCATGAGACCTGTCTGCTCCTCCAACACTCACCTTCCCTGTTCTCCAGCATGCTGTGTCTGTGGCTCCCTGGAGGCTCCTGCATGGCAGCTCTGGCAATGACGCTGATGGTGCCGAGCCCTCCTGGGGCTTTGGTCAGGGACACCAGACGTAAGTGGATGCCGTGGGTGCTAAACTACTACTGAGGGAGAAGGAAGGGAGTTAGTATTCTCACTTTGTCCAGACCAAGTCCCTTAAATTGTGATTTTCTTCTGTGACCACTTATCTTTATCAGATAAATTCTGAGTTATCACCACGGAGGAGGCGCTCGATGCTCGTCCTCTGTACAGGGCCTGCAGATGGCCCCTCCATATAGGCTATGTTTTCCCAACTCCCTTCCAACGCCCCTTTGCAGCCATACGTTACATTTCTCCAGGGCCTTGAGACAACACAGAAAGAGTAATATTAAAATAATTTCCCACCTAGCTCTTCTCTTTATTATATTGAGTTATGGCAGCAAAAAGGGAGTTTTCTGTGAAAATTTTATGAATAATCAAGTGAAATTGAAAAAAAGCTCTCCTAGAATAGGTGTTGTGTCCTCACCACGATCTGTGAGGCTTCCTCTCTCCAGTACATGACAAGGCATGGCCAGGTGTCACCTGTTATTTCTCACTTTCCTCAAATTTCCCACTGTAGGGCCCCGCCCTGCTGTGTTGAAGATAGTCTAATGGGACTGAGATGATACTGCTGCTTCTGTGGAGAGCATCCTGCTAACATAGACCACTTAGTTTGGGGGATAACTGTATAGATAAGGAGCACCTGTGAAAGTCTTTGCACCATTCCTGAGGCAGTGGACAGAGAGGAGGCTTTTCCTAGTTCACACTGTGTAAGTGTAGGTTTGGGTGGCAATCCGGTTTGTGCCACAGCAGCCATTATTTAGGAAAGTCATAGATGCCAAGGCGCTGTCCTCTGCCCACCGCTTGTGCTGTGTTAGGGGGTGGCTGCTGACACCCATGACAAGATGGCACATAGCAATGTCTGCAGCTTGGGTTCTAGAGACACAGGTGAGCTCAACATGAGTCTGAAGAAGAGCAGTCATCACCTTTAGACATGCCAGCACCTCACACTGGATTAAAGCCTGGAAGGACTGTGGATTCTCCTGCTGTTAGCACTGCCGGTCTGCTGCTGTGAATGAAGTTGCTGGCACTTTCCTGCTTAACTTTTCCCAGAAGCGGGGGTGGGGGTGGGGGTGGGGTGGGGGAGCTACAGGGTTTGAAGTTGTCATTTTCTTTGTTCCTTTCTGCAGCTTGCCTTTTGACATTCCATGCTGCTTAGGGTTCCCATCATCTCCTTACTGATTTTTTCAGTTTACTCTCGATTGCTCTCCTCAAAATAGTTTTTCCTTTGATGCTCTGGTTTTCCTGTAGTGTGTCATGCACAGGACACCTGTATTCAGCCATCTTGGATGCTATCTCTCCAGGAATTTTTTAATAAAGTGTATGTAGTGGATAAATATTAGCAAACCACAGCCAGATTTTCCACTTTCAAATAACTTGCTCAAACTTCCACAAAATATGTGACTGTTTGCAATGGGTTTAATCCCTCTGTGCTTAAGTTGCTTCAAACAAAATAAGAAAGATAACAAATCGATGGATTTAGAAGAGGTATGTCAAAAGCATTAGGGATGATGCTTGTCACACTGCATTGACTTTTGTGCAAGCTTTGTCATCCTATCCATCCCCAGGTCCCATGGATGCGACCCCGAAGAGAGATCTCAAATCCCAGAGCAAGCTTCTTCATACAGTGTCAGGCTATTGCCATAGCTCTGCTATCATCATCTTGTACCTACATTAGTCTAGTAGACAATAAATTCATCTCTTTTCTTTCACTCTTGCTTCTTTTTTAATCAAAATCACTCTTCATTCTATTTTTAGTGATATGACAAAACATACACATCTGGAATTCTACTCTTCAAACACTTGGAGCACTTTGGAAATTAGGGTTTTGGGTTTTGTAATGTTAAATATAATACAAAATAATAGTGCAGTTCCCAGTTAATATCAGATGTTTTTTTCGAAGATAAGGGCCAGTAACTTGGAACAAAAAAATAATATTTCCAGGCCCTGTCCTATGAATAGCCATGAATATGATATAAAACACCATACCATATAGTATTCTAGTAATTTTTTCTTGTTTATTTTAAACAGTCTCTTACATAGTTCAGGCTGACCTTGAACTCACTGTGTAGCCCAGGCTGGCCTTGAGCTTTGTAGACCATCTGCTTCAGCCTCCAGAGTGCTGGGATTACAGGTGTGAGCCACCACACCCAGCTCCTAGTAAACTTGCATTGCCCTGTGAATCAATTCCAGCATCACATCCTTGATCCCAGCATCACACACCCTAGATCCAACCACCTCTGAAAAGCCCCACCTATGACCACACGAGGCTGTGGGGGGACATCTAGATACAAGACATAACGCCTATCTTTATTATTTTTGTCCTACCTCATCACCACCCTGCCCTGACTTTGAGCCCTTATTCTTAAAGGAAGCAGAGGAGATGAAAGTCCATCTTCTTATGGCTGATTCAGGCTGTGTGCAGGGGGACTGACTTTGCCTAGCCAGGCATGAAAGTCTCATCTAGACTGATCTAGGACACCTAGGAATACTGGCTTTTGTTGTTATTAACTTTTTACTGGTAAGTGCTTAATACAGAATCTGTCAGTGAGCTAACTTGTGAATATAGGTCTTGTAATGTAGAAGACACATTTTTAGAGTTGTCAGTAATTTTGATTGTGCCCTGGAATTGCTGTCTTTTAAAAAGTATAATTTTTAAATTATGATTTTTCTTGTCTTCTTCTTACCTATTGTCCTAGTTACTTTTCTCATTGATGTGACAAAATACCCAACACCCAAAGTTAAAGAAGGAAAGGTTTATTTGGCTTATAGTTTCTAGAGGTTTCCGTTCATAGTTGGCAGGCTCCAAGGCAGAGTGGCATAGCAGAGGGGCATCGCAGAGGAGAAACAGTTAATAGTGGGCATTTTGTTTTAAAAATAGCATTTTCTTTTAAAAAATAGCATAGGTGAACAGTAGCTTGACTAAGAGCTGGAGAAATCTGAACGCTATAAGTAATATAAATATGTTAAACAGGAGATAAAAACTAGAAGTAGAATAATAATGAATTATCTTTAATACTAGCCTCTATTTTGTCTTGAGATATTTACCCAATTACAACAGGGGGAGTGTAAGAGTATATAGATTCCTCTTTTCTTTGTTAATAAGAAATCTAATTTTTAAATTATAATAATGTTCAAAGAATAAATTTAAAAATTCACATTTTATGTGAACAGTGGACCATTAAATATCTAATTATTATAGGATTTAGAGCCCAGGAATTGGCTTGTACTTTGTAAAACAAAGATGCTTGTAGTGTTTGGCTTTAGCGAGTATAGACAATTCCTGAAGTAGATAACTGAGAGTTAGCATGTACCATAAACATAATAATGCTTACTAGCTAGAATATTTATATTGACATTTGTATCCCCTAGGCAGACCTATATAAGAAGCTAAATCTTTACCCAAGAGATATCTGAATATACATCAAAATAACATAATGATAATATACTAAGATGGGTTGAAGGACACATTTTGGAAAAGCTATTAGAATTGAGAATTCAGGTCTCTGATGGTTGTGTAGGATAAGATTTTATAGGTGTAGCAAGAGACTGTCAGTAGAGGCTAGTACAGTAGTTGAAGTCCCTTTTTATAACTAATCCAGCTATCTGTTTTTAATATTATCATTATTAATTACTTCATTTTTTGGTTGTACTTTTCTGCTGGATGTTTAAGAACAGGTCAAAGCAAGACCTTTGCTAAACAAGATAAATCTATCAATATGTATTTGTTAATACATTTAAGCCTCCTCAAGGATTACTTTTGGAACAATGTGAGGAGTCTCTTAGCTCATTTAAGTTTTCCTTCTACCAGTTGTATCATTTGCCAGGATGAACCAGAGTGGCTTTCCTCAAAAGCATGGGGCTATCCCCCTTTTTAGTGACTTTCCTTTTCATAGAATGTACAGAATTTGACTCCCATGCGTTAGGGTCCAAAAATCCCCCTGCTTGGGAGGTTGAGGACTGACCAGAGTTGCAGAGTCCTTTCTGAGGGGTCCCATCATGTCCAGGGTCCCGGCAGATCTTGGAGAACAAGAGCCCAAAACATTGGCTGTTCTCATAGCCTTGTTGTCTTTCTTAGCTTTGGTCTCTAATCTTCAGTTGTTGAACACCCAGGTCACTTGCAATAGTTCTGATGTGAAAAGCAGTAGATCTTAATCCTATTAAGGTCCTTTTTGGGTATTGAGACACTTTTAAATATAAAGTATGAGCAGAGAACAGCTACCTCATCCATTAATCATGGTCAGCATTAGTATTAGGAATCCACGTCCATTCTATTTGTCCTGTAGGTGATGGTCTAACATCTTAGCAGATTATTTAGATTATCCTTTAGAAGTCATATTCCTGTATCATGTTAACAGATAACACTTATAAAGTTTCACAAGGAAAATGAAAAAAAATAACAAAAGCAAGTAGCATTTTAGGATAACAATTAGGATGACATTATTATGCCAGGGTCATTAGGTTCTTTTTGTTATTTCTATAAAAATACATTTAAATTTCCATTTTAGTGTACAATAAACATCAATAATAGGTTACCTTTATCAGGTTACAAAATATTAGATGGCATAAAAAATCCTTATCAAAATTTGTAGTAGTTTTTCTTAATCATGTGTCTCTTCAAACAGAGTATCCTTATTTATAGATGTACTTTAGAGGTGACTAATGTCCAATCTTTAATTATTAGAATGGTGCTACTTGATCTGTCTAGTGTTTAGGCACTAACTATTATAACCCAGTGAAGAACATATAAATGCAAGCCTAAAAATTATCACAAACAATTTTGATTGAAGATAGCAAGGTAGTAAGGTGTTTTCCTAAGTTTTGTATTTTAAAAGGTTTCTATAACTTGGGAAACCTAAACATATGTAATGTACCAAGAAGTTGGCCAGAATTCGCATCACAGATATATGTCTTTCACATGTATTAACTTAGTTTTCATTTTTGAGACAAAATTTAGAATCTATAGCTCAGTAGTATAGCCATAATCATGTGATTTTTGTATTTAACAGATCTACAAAGTTTAACAGCACTGACACAAAAATTAAATAGCTTTAGGTCTCTTAGGAGGCTGGGAAACAGTGTTACCAGGCACAGAGGCTTAGTAGCCAATACGTAATTGTATCTCAGTTATACCACAACAAAAATGCTTCTTTGGTCCATGCCAGTAGATGTAGACCAAGTTATGAATGGCAGGACCAAATTCTACCAAATATAAAGAGCAAAGATGCCAATAATTTTGATCATTTTACATGTTTAATGTCCAGATACAATGCATATCCTATTAAAAAAGGGAACTTGGTTACTTTGCATGCATTAAACTTATGTAATCTTAACTCTATAAACTTAACATTAGACAGAGCTCAGATTTGCAGCACCTTTCATTCCCAGATGTGTACATATTTGTGTCCCAGATATATAGAGAGTATGCTGTAACCTAAGGTAATAGTTGCTCGTGCTCATTTAACCGATTATAAACTGATTATTGAAAAGATCTCAGAACAAGCAAATATTTAAACTTTAACTCTTAAAACTCAGTTTAAGTAATAAAAAGCCTAACAGCAGAAAAGGCAAGAAATTTTCTTGATAGAAAGCAAAACTTTTGTTTCCTAATCTAGCTTTTTGCAAGTTTAACCAATAGCACTTTAATATCTTAAGAAAACCTTATTGCTTAAAACACAGAAAACTCTTGAACTAACTTTTTAAGTATAGCCAACTTAATTATATATAATCATTTAAAAAAAAAACATTTGTTAGGTGGGGCACAGTAAGACTCTGGGGAAAACCAGAAGAGCCACTCAGTTGTGGAGAAAACTGAAGCAAATTGGTCCAAGAAGTTGCTGTTTTAGCCACAGGGGAAGTTTTGTCTAGCAGTTCCTCAGGCCCAAGGGCCCCTACTGAAGGGAAAATTTTTATATATTATTTTCATCTAAAACTATATGCTAGAATTTTAACTCATAGCAGCTTTATGAAGAAAGCAATCTTAAACTGTCCTCTTACATGTGCAGTTTTAGATGTGGTGGCCATGCTGAATTATAATAATCCTTTTTCTTACTTTTAGATTTAGATTTATAACTATAAATAGACTAGACAGAATTCTCCCGAGGGGGTACAAATTAGTGCTTCTTATTTTTATGTAAATCATAACAGTATTTTCTCCAATACCCAGAGCATGCTATAAGCAGTGCAGGCTGCAAAGAGTTAAATCCCTCAATAGGCTTACTTTAAGAAGCGAGTCTGACTGGAGCTACATGATGCACAGAAGCCTCTCATGAGCACTGCGGTAGCGCAGGTCAGTATGACCTCCCTGCTATGGCCCAGCCAAGGCCATTACTCTGGCAATGAAGCTGGGGCTAATATGAGATAACATGTATAGCTGAGGTCAGAGTAATTCACACCCAAATTCCATTCCCACAATTAGTGCCTTCCTAACTAGAAGGACAATGCTCTAATTACAACCATATATTTTGTCTGTCTTGTTTCTAAATTGAAAATGCTTTGTCTTTTCTCTTTAAAGCCTTGCCTGCATTAACTTCCATAGTAACTGCATGAACCTCACATTTGTTCACATAGCTCACTTCTACCCCAATTGATGAACAATAAAAATCAGTAGATGAGACTGACTGGGGTCTTTTGCTGAAGATCCAGCATTGGCCATCCCAGTCTCCGCTTTCTCTCTTACTTCTCTGCCTCTAGTGTATTTTTTTCTTCAGCCTTGGATCACACAGAGAGCAGGAAACTAGAACCTAACTGCAGGGGTCTCTAGCAAGATCTTTCTGCTATTCTCTGTTAACAGAACTCCACCCTCTTCTTTCTGACATTTCTCACCCTTGTAGAACCTTTTGCATGTTTGGCTTTTGTCCCTCACTGTCACTAATTAAGCTCCAGGAGTGCTGTGGAGGTGTTTGGATTCCCAGGGGCAGCACAGGCCGGGCACAGGGGCAGCATAAGGGAGATTTTACAGAGCAAAGGAGATGGCCCTGTGTAAAGAAAGGGCCAAGAGCTATGGGTGTGAGAAACTGAGTGGAGAATGTGTGTTTGGTGGAGGTTCCTGCACGAGATGCTCTGGGCTGCGGTGAGGAGCGAATTCTTGTCCGACTCCTGGGTGTTGTTCTCCACCAGGAACCAAGAGGACTGGGACCCACATCGCAGCTGGTCAGAGGGGTGTCTTGGCTGTCATGGGCTCCTCCTGCCTCTGGGAGATGAGAGATGAACTTGGACACTGGTCTCAAGGAGGCCCTCCTGTGGGATTGTGGGCACTTCTGCCCAGGAGAACAGCCTTTGACTGGATCACTCCTGTTCTCACAGAATGTTCCATGGAGTACGTTAAATCAGAATGTCATTTCTCCAACGGGACGGAGCAGGTGCGCTTCCTAGAGAGACACTTCTTTAACCTGGAAGAGTATGCGCGATTTGACAGCAATGTGGGGGAGTTCCGAGCTGTGACTGAGCTGGGACAGCCTGCAGCCAAGTTCTGGAACAGCTGGGAGGATGCCCTGAGGCAGGAGCGGGCCACCGTGGACACTTTCTGTAGGTTCAACTACAGGGTTGTGCAGAGCATAACTGTGCATCTGAGAGGTGAGCAAGGGCCCGGCAGCAGCTCAGGAGGGTGGAAAGGTGGTGTGTGTGTGTGTGTGTGTGTGTGTGTGAGAGAGAGAGAGAGAGACAGAGACAGAGACAGAGACAGAGCCAGAGCCAGAGACAGACAGAGACAGAGACACAGACACAGACAGAGACAGACAGAGATATGAGAAAAAAACAGTTTCTCAACTCTAGTCTGTCCTTGCTGTCTGGATTGAATTCTGGGATCATGACATTGACTCCTGTTAGGCCCTTTGCCAACTTTGACTAAGCTTTCCAGGGCTTGAGCCTGTAGTTGAAGAGAGGCAGAAAGATGGACAAACAGAGGGGAATGCTCTGCCTTCTGACTTACTCTCTGCCTTTTCTCCTCTAGTTGCTCCCAAGGTGACCTTGTACCCCACAAAGACCCAGCCCCTGCAGCACCACAACCTCCTGGTCTGCTCTGTGAGTGGCTTCTACCCAGGCCACATTGAAGTCAGATGGTTCCGGAATGGCCAGGAGGAGGAGGCCGGGGTGGTGTCCACAGGCCTGATCCAGAACGGGGACTGGACCTTCCAGACCCTGGTCATGCTGGAAGCGGTTCCTCAGAGTGGAGAGGTGTATGCCTGCCAGGTGGAGCACCCGAGCTGGAGCAGCCCTGTCACCGTGGAGTGGAGTGAGTGGGAAGCCCGGACCTTATAAATGCCCCACTCACTTATAAATGGTCTTTCCTTATCGCTGAGTGTCAGGTTTCTCTTCTCCCTACACCATAATTTTATTCCTTCTGTGTTCTCTCCTTCAGTACCAGTCATGGGTGCAGTTCTGTGATAGTTTCTACAATACCTATGCCCCTTGGGGAACCAATTATGCATATGACACAGAAAAGTGACTCCCTATTTTGAGCCATCCTATAATATCACAAGAGAGGTCACCCCTTTGCCCTTATTCCAGACCCTGCCTCTGGGCTAGACTTGTGTTGCTCTTGCTTTTGCTCTGGGCTTTTCACTGTGATCCAAGGAGAGTAATGCAGGGCCCTTCCTGAGGTGAGGGGGTCTGCCTCAGCTCGTCCGCTCTTTAGCTCTGTCATCCTGGATGGGCCACCTAACTGCACTGAGCGACACAGACTTTATACCTCAAATGTTATTGGGGAGTTGTGGAATTTTAAGGAATTCAGTGCTTATAATGACTTATAACTACTCAGTGTGACTTTCAATCTTTTTTATCTAGGAATGACCAATTCTATCTCTTCTAGTGCAGGCGTCTTCCTCCAATCTCAAAGCTTTGAAATTCAGTGTCTCAATGAAGGAAGTTTGATTACAGCAAAAATCCCTAAACATGGCGTCTTCTCTCAGGGGCATGGTCTGGATCTGCACGGAGCAAGATGCTGAGTGGAGTCGGGGGCTTTACACTGGGGCTGCTCTTCCTCGGAGCGGGGCTGTTTGTCTACCTCAGAAATCATGGGGTAAGGAGTTTGTGGGTGCCTGAGATTCTCCACAGCTGTGTCCGGGCAGGAAATAGGACTTCGCAGTTTTTTCCTCCATATCTCAGTGACCCTATAGGAAGCCTTTTTTTTTTTTTCATCAGGTGACCTCAAAATTTCCTGGGAACTTGAAAGGAAAAGCCTCCATACATAAGGGAGTAAGACCTTATGTGTAAAGAGAAAGGCTGACTAGCCCAGAAGCAATGGCTCTAGCATAATGGGAAAATGACGAAGAGCCACTGAACATTGGGGTTTGGGCCAGAAGCGTCCTGGGCCACAAGTTCTTAGTCTGTGCTCCCCTCTCTGCGCTGGCTGGAGTGAGTTGTGGTGACAGGGAAATCTTACACGGTGTATGTGACACTGGGAACACTGTCTTTAGGGGCAGGTTTGCTGCATGTCATGGTTCTCCCTTTACCTTATCTTCCCCAGGAAATTCTGGACTTTAGCTGGCAGAAAATTGCTTTTTAGCCTTCTCGGAGGCAGATTTTGCTCTACCATGCCTACAAGGGGTGGTATTTGTGACAAGACATGAGAGGGAAATAATGGGAAAGATACCGAATTCAAATTTCTGACCAGGCAGTTGATGTTAAGCCTCTTCCTTTCATTTAATAAAAAGTCTATTGGGCTGGGGATTTAGCTCAGTGGTTCTCGTGCCTGCCTTGTAACTACAAGGTCCAGAGTTCAATCCCTAGTACCAAAAAACAAAAACAAAAAAGGTCTGTGCTCTGAAGCGCATTGGCTCGGGGAGAGCTTTTGTTTTCTCTTCGTTTGACAGTGTCATCACGAGGGGTCTTGAGAAAGGAAAGAAGCTGTGTTCCGGGTAAGGTCGGAAATCATCACTGCCCTCTGTCCCTGCGGGACTCCTGAGCTGAAGGGAAGATGAAAGCCCCGTGTCCCCGCCTTTTCTTCCACAGCGAGGCTATCACGGGACCCGGTTCGCCCGGTTCAGTGACCCCACGGAACGTGCCCTCCCGCGGGGCTTCTTCCGCCCCGCCCCTGGCCTGGAGCCTGGCACACACAGCAGGACTTCTTCATAAGCCACTGGCCGCTCTGTGTTCCAGTCTGGCCTCCTCCCTGCGTCTGAACGCACATTTTGTTACTTTTTTGTCAAATAAACATAGATTGAAAAATCATTTGCTTTATACAAATTTGAGGACAAAAAATAAAAAAGAGAAAGAGAAAATTACATTAGAATGATGATTTTCATTTGCGTATGGTAAGTATGTGAGGTACTGTATATGTTAAATAAGTTGAGATATCTTTTCCCGAATGCCTACATATAACATGCATCATGTTTTACAACATAAATATATATGACTTTTGCTAGTCAGTTAAAATAATTTTTAGAAATTAGATCAAAATTCTAAAGCCAATGCCTAACACACAAAACAGACTTGTAACAGTTGAAACAAACTTGAAGAAAAGTAGATGGGAAATAAGCTTTTAAAAAAAAGCCCATTAATTGCAACTCATTGTATGGATCTGAGTTCATAGATTTCATTAGTCTGCTTGTGTAAAGCATCTGAATTGGTGTCAGAGAAAGAGGGGTGAATTGTGTGAGAGAACTGTAGTTTGTACTCTATTCGAAGAGTCAATTGGAAATGTAAGTAACATCAAAAAGCAAATAACCAATTGAAAAATTTATTTCACATTAATAATTGAACACAATTTCTCCACTGTCATATACAGTTATTTAATGTTTAAGTGATTCAAAGTTCAAATTATGACCATTTTATTTTGAGTTACAATATGTATTGGGTCTGCAAAGAATATTTTCCTACAAGAATTTATAAGTGATAATTACATCTGTTCTGTTATCCTAGGGGTGCAACTTTCCCCTGGTTCTGTTCCTTTAGATGAAAAATTTTTTTGGTCTCTATTTGAGATTTGTGCTGGGAAATTGTAAGGAAGAATTAAAATATATGGGACAAATATTCAGTCAAGTTGCTTTATACAGCAATAGCACCAAATTCAATGTAATCAGCTCTAATTTTCTGTAACGTACATTGCACACCTGGCTGATAGTGTGCAAGATAGGGCACCTCCAGGGCTTCTTACTTTAGGGCTGAGTGGTATCTCTGGTGAAACTGTAACTTTCAGGGTACCCCTGAAACACCCCTCTAACACTGAGCTGCACCCCTAGCCCACCAGCAAACTTTTAAATATCCTCGTGGGTTTGTGTGATGGACTGAGAACTAGAGGTCCTCTGAGTATGGCGGTGCACATCTGCAATCCCAGCATTCTAGGAGGCGAATGGAGGATGATTGCCATTCTGGGCAACTTAGTGATTTAGTGAGAACCTGCCTCAAAATAAAAAAATAAAAATAAAAAAGGAGCTGGGGATATACCTCAGTGCAAAGGCCCTTGATTTAAGCCCTACTATGAAAAACAAAGAAACAAAAAACAAAAAAAAAAGCATGTTCCTCCACCAAATAATATGTCTTTTTTTAACTGTCAGCTGAGTCTCTTCAGAACTTTTGCTGAGTTTATGGTGGTACAGAAAGAAACTTGGAAGGTAGATAGACAGCAGAAAAAAACCTCACTAAATTTCAATGCAAAAGATCATCAATAAACAAATGTAAACATGAACAAAACATTTAACCACCTTCACCTAACTGGACTTTCTAACTGGCAAATATATTCATAGCACTCAACATCCAATAACTACAGAATTCATATTTCTTTCAATTGCACCAAAATCCTCAAATTTGAACATATACTATGGACATAAACCTTGTCTCAAAAACTTTCCATCATACCGAATAGGGGCCGGCGATTTAGCTCAGTGGTTCCAACGCCTGCCTCGCAAGCACAAGGTCCCAAGTTCAATCCCCAGTACCAAAAAAAAAATTATACAGAATACATTGTGTCCACACTCTTACCAAATTACAAATCCATAAGACTGAGAAAATCATCAATATTTTTGGAAATGAAGAAATACACTTCTCAATCTATAGTAGGTCAAAGAAAAAATCAGGAGGGAAATTCAAAAATAATTTAAAATGAAAAAATATTAAAATGAGTTTTCAAATTTTTGATATGTAACCAAAAATCCATGCAGGGAAATATATAAGTTTAAATTCCTATATTATAAAAGAAAAAATATAAAAATCAAGTATTTAAGCCTTTAAGAAGTTGAGAAAAACAAGTTAATTTAACATAAGAAATGAATAAAGGTGTAACTAAATATAAAATAAAATCAGCATTGAAAATAAAAGTATAATAAAGGTAAAGAAAGTAAGATGTCTGTTTTCCTTTTTTGGATAAATTATTTGCAAAACTAATAAGGGGAGAAAAGTCCACACTATGAATTTTGAACTTTTGGAATGAAAAGGATGAGATTCCTGCATATCCTACAGGCATTAAAAAGACACTTTCTGCCAGTACATTTGCCTGCATAAATGAAAGTATGTGAAAAATACTTTTTTCACATACATATTTGAATACATATTAAATACATATTTGAAAAAATGTTCATAATCAATGTCTTAATAAATCACCACAAGCCCAGCTGGTTTAAGATTGCAGTCATGTCGTGATTTCTCCGGGATCTGGGAAGTGGTTGAGTTTAGCAAATGGCTCTAACCAGGGACGTCTGTCTCATGGAGTTGCAGCCAAAGGGAAGCTGGGTCCAGGTCCTCAAGAGGCTGGGTTTGGACAGCGGAGACTTCATGTGTGGTCCTGGGGCCTGTGATGTGCCCCATGCTCTCCCATCAACAATGAAGACAGGGTTCTCGGGTGAGAGCCGTGAGTCCCAAGAACATGTTTCTCAAGAGGGCAAAGTGACAGCTGCGCCACTGACCTACCTCGGGAGCTGTGGGGAGTCATTGCTACCACAGGGTGCTGGTCAGCAGGGCCAGTGCAGCTCTAAGGGGATGTGAAATACAATCCACCTCTTTGAGATGAGCGACAAATAATCTGCACCCATATCCTACATAATTTCTCCAAACTGGCAAAACATTAAGTTTCTATCGTCCTCCATCTGATAAGGACATTGTAGCTTTCTCAAATATCCTTCAAAGGAAATTAAAGAGTCCATTTGTTTCAGTATTAAATCCTGGGAAATATTTTCAATGCATCTGAAATTGGATTTTTTGATAACTTGAGTAGGCGTTATGGTGAATTTTCTCTTGGACGTTCAAATGACCAGGCAGTGTCTGTTGGGAGGACTAACCTCCCTTGTTGGTCTGAATGGCTGCCACAGATCAGAGCTCTGTATTTGGGAGGAGGGATGGTTCTAGGGTTTCAATTTTGTTCCCTTGTCCAATTTGTCTACACTTGACACTACACTATGTTAATTAATACAACTATATACTAGACCTTGTTATGTTGTACTGAATTTTGTCCAGTTGTGTTATTTCTCAAAAAGTTCATTATCTATATCTGGACCTTAGCATTTACATATGAAGTTAAAAAGTAGCTTGATATTTCATTCATCCCTAAAAGGAAACAGAAGAAATAAAAAGACATAACAAAAATAAGCAAGCACACAATAAATCCTGCCTTGATACTCAATTGGATTTTCTAAATTCAGATTCTATTAGAATTAGCTGACATTTTAAAAATAGTCTCATATCTCCAAATTAGGTATTTTCTCCATTTATTTAGATCTATTACTTTCTTCCCATGATATCCTATAATTTTCTGTAGAGAAATATATTACTGGTCTCTTATTTTTGCTGTCTAATTTCTATTTGATCGAGTTGTGCCTCTCCTGGGTGTCTTCCTAAAAGAGGTGAGGGTATCATAGTTCAGTGAGATGTGCTCAGCGTGCAATTCACAACAGCTAACGTATGGAAGCAGCCTAGGGGCACTTCAACAGATGAACGCATGCAGGAAGTGTTGTCTATGTACACAATGGGGTATTACCCAGAAAGAAGGAGAACAGGACCTTTTGTAGGAAAATTTCTTTAGCTCTGTCATCCTCCACAGGCCACTTAACCTCACTGAGCTATAGACACTTTACACCTCAGGTGTTATTTCAGGGCTGTCGCATTTAAGTGTATTTAGTATACGGACCTTGTTGTCTACTATTTAAAATTCTCTTTCAAAACTGGCCAATTCTAACTCTTCTAGCGCAGGCTTCTACCCCCAGTCTCAAAACTCTGAATCTCAGTGTCTCAGTGAGGGAACCTGGATTTGATACAGCAATCACTAAACCCGCTTTCCTCTCTCAGGGGCACGGTCTGGATCTGCACGGAGCAAGATGCTGAGTGGGGTCGGGGGCTTTGTGCTGGGGCTGCTCTTCCCTGTGGTGGAGATGTTTGTCTACTTTAGGGGTCCAAAAGTAAGGAGCTTGTTGGTCCCTGGGACTCCATAGACTTTTGAGGGGGAGGATAAGGCTTTTCTAAGGTTCATTTTCAGCATATCAGTGGCCTTATATGAAGCCTTTCATTCATCAAGAACCTCAAAATTTCCAGAAATTCAGAAATCAATGGTTTATGTTTACTTACGTTGAAATTGAAGGGGTTATGGTCTATAGAGATAAGAGAAAGGAAAGCAAGTGTATACTTAGTGGGTTGAGACGCTGGGGAAAATAAGGAAGAGCCATTGAACACTGGATTTGTGAACCAGAGCTTTGTGGGTCACAAGGCCGTAGTTTGTGTTCTTCTTTCTGCCCTGGCTGGTGTGAGTGATGTTGTTGCAGAAAGCTCAATAGGCAGATCTGAGGCTGAGAGTCTGGTGTTTGGAGCCAGACTCATCTCCATGTTGTTGAAACATATTCTTACCCTCTCTTTCTCAGGACAGTCTGGACTTCGGCCAACAGGTTAAATCCTTTAGTCCTCTCTGAGAGAGATTTGCTTTTCCTACAGTGGATGGTCAAAGTGATGAGACACAAGACAGAAGTATTGGGAAAGGTTTGGATCCAAATTTCTGGTTAGGCAATTTGCACTAAACATTCTGTCCACTAAATAAAAGGCCTGTGCTCTCAAGTAGCTTTGACTCTGGAGACTTGAGAATGTAGCTCTTTTCTTCCTGCAATGCCATCACAGGAGGTCCTGAGAGGGGAAAGGGGCCACGTGCAGATTCAGACCTGGAAACACCACTGTCATCTGCCTTCTTCAGGACTCCTGAACCAAAGTGAAGGTGAGAGCATAAAGGAAGAACTTGCGTGCCTGCCTTTCCTCTTTGGGACAGGCTTCTCGCTTGGCTCCAGCTTCTCTGCTGTCCCAGGAGCTGTTCCTTCCTGGTTCAGAGACCTTCCAGAACGTGTTCTTCCTGCCATTTCTTCAGCCCCTGTGCCCAACTGGAAGCCCTAGTTCAGACCACAGGACCTTTTTCATTCTCTCCTGGCCCCTTTGTGTTTAATCCTTGCTGCCCTGCATCCATCTGAACTCACCTTGGGCTGCATTACATTATATTTTTCTCAGATAAACATGGAGTGAAAGATCATCTGCTCCATACAGTTTTGAGGAAAAGAAATAAGAAAGGTAAAGGGAGAATAACATCACACTACTGCAGTAGTTTTCATTTATATATGACAACTATGTGAGGTAATGCACGGCTTGAATCAGCCATTCTTCAATGTATCAAGCATTATGATGTATACCACAAATGTATGTGATTTTTATTTTTGAATTCAAAATTAGATTAAAAGTTTAAAAAGCCAATGCCTAAAATGTCAACACATACTGTACCTATTGAAACAAACCTGATTAAAAAATTCCTCAGGGAAAAAAAGCTAGAAAAATAAATCAAAACTTTTCTTTGGGCCTTAACTGATAGATTGTGTAACTCTAATTGGAAATTAAAGAATGGCTGTAAGTGCATGGACTTCATTAATATGCTATTATAAACCAGTGGATGGGTTTCCAGGAAAAGCATGAGAACTGGTTGAAAACATAGGTGGTTGTGCTGATGTATTTGGTCGGAAAGTCAGTTACATTGTGTCTGAAAACTAAAGTTCTCCGGGGTCACAAGTCAAGGTGGTATTGATCAATATTAACAGACTAAGTTATTACCCAATCTATAAATAAATTCAAAATATCTAAAAAAAAAAAAAAAGAAAGTCAGTTACCAATGTAAGTCAAAAAGCAAATAATCAACTCAGAACTTTATGTCACAGTCATAATCTCTACTATGACATACAGCACTTATTTATTTCCAGGAAAATTCAAAGTTTATTTTAGGCATAAGATCTGGGACCCAGAAATTCATAATGGAGTTAAAGAAAACTTGCAAGAAGCTTAAAGGTTTCTTGCCTTAGATAACCCATCATTACTACCCTATTGTCAACCTTATTTACCTTTTCCTGGGTTTGGAGAGAATATTCAGACACAGGTGGGGCGATGATTTGCCTACCCAGGATATTTTTCATCTCACTGACCAAGCTATGCGGAACTCTGATGCTTACTCTCTGTTGAGCTTGTAGAGATCTTTGGAAGACACCTAATCGATATGTTGATAGAAACCTGCTTTCTAGTGGATCTCAGTGTGTCTCTGCCCAGGGCCACCAAGGTTTTAGAAGCTTAGTGGTATAAGAGCATTTTCAGTGAACTGCAAAGTGAACATATCAGAATGGAATTCTAGAAGGTTTCTGAGGGGATTGGGGTTTATACCCAGGTATAAATTTTAAGATCTGGAGATTCAGTAAAGAGAGGACTATTTGAGAAGGGATAAGAGGAAGAATATACATGATCAAGATATGCCACATGCATGTATGAAAATACCACATTGAAACCCAATATTTTATAAAACTAATATGCACTAATACAATCTATATTTTAAAGGGAACTATCATTTTGTGCCCATGAGTTGATCAAACAAAAACTCTGAGATATCCTAAAATTGATTATTGGGACAGAGGATAGAGAGAAGAGATCAGGGAAATTAATGAGATAATAGTTTTGGAGAGAGGATAAGGGGAAGTTAATCTGTTAATAACTTGAGTGAAACCAATAAATAGACTCTTAATGTTGAAGTCTTGACTTATATCACATTTGGCCAAGCACCAGGGGCCCAGCACCCGGCTTACACCTGAAATTTCCTGACTGTTAATCCCCATCAATGCGGAAACAACAGTGATTACTCCTGTCCCAAAGATTTCCTGGATTCACATAAACCCATACCTCTTCACCATAGTCAATGAAAGTTCAAAGTAAATAGTGCTTTATTCCTTTGACATTTATAAAAAATACTCCTATTGCTATTATTTTTTCATTTGATATATGGATCAGTGACCTGTTTTAATTTTCAGTGTCAGATTAGTGGTTGCCTTCTGAACACTCCTGAGAATACCTGGGCCACTGGGCAAGGGACAGACATTCTATACTAACTGCGGTGTTAGGACTTGTATCTAGACGTCCCCTCTAAGCCTCATGCACTCATAGGCGGGGCTTTGGGAAGGTGGCTGGATCATGGATGTGTGATTCTGGATTAGGGGTGTGATACCAAGTAAGTGCTAACTAAAAAGGTGGGTGCTAACTAAATTGGTTTAGTGTAGTTCTGGGTGTGGATAATGGAACTCCCATCTTGGATGTAGGTGGCAACAAGCAATAGTCTTGTAGCCTGGATGGAATATAAAGGGACAAAAAGAAGACAGGTGTGTGCTCTACTGCCTGCTGCCTTCTGCCTTCCCTGCCATGAACCGTTTTTCCTCTCTGATGCCCCTCTGCCATGTCACCCTGCCTTGGAGCTATCTGACTATGGACTGAAACCTCTACAAACTGAGCTGAAATAAACATTTCCTCCTTTAACTTGTGAGTTTTCGGTATTTTAGACCAGCAATGAGAAATTAACCAAGACAAGTAACTTGCTGAGGACTACACTAGCCCATTTCCAATGATGCGTTGCAACCACATAGGCTCACTACAATTGAGTCCCATTCTGTGGGGATTGACAGGACTCAAGACATTTGTAATACTACAAATCACAACCTATTAGTCAACAAATCTGTATTCAGGTTTTACTTGTTTGTTCTCAGGTGTGACTTATTTAACTAAAAAAAAAAAATAACCTCATACATCAAGGTCAGAGTCTGCAGAAAATTTCTGTACTGCTAGCCACTTTCTGCCAGAAATGAATTTAACCTCATTTTCCTCAGGAGATAAGCTATTACTGACACCTGTTGCACACACAGCAGAAATGGAAAAGACTACTTCTTCCCTTCTTACAGTGATGAAGTTCCACCTAAAGATTACACATGGGATTGATGGTTTGGTAACACTTGCTTATTATTTTACCTAAACTGATCTTATATTGAATAGGATTGCAGATACAGAACATTTAAAGCAGCACATTTCTATGACTCACAAATGTGTACAACATGCAGAATTCAGTTCTTAGGCTTTAGCCACTGAGCCACACTGCAGATGACTGGATGTAGGAATTTTGAAAACATTGTTAACTTTTGTAACAAGGGAATTTGTGCAGAGCCATTAGTGTCATTACATGTCATAGATACAAATTTGTCATTCAAGAGAAGGCTAATGATGGAGATGCAGTGACTTTTGAAGAAACTGGAATTTCTATGCAGTCACTGGCCCAAATTACATGAAACAATGCCATTCATTAGAAATAGTAGTGTTACTAATATGCATAGCCAAGATCCAAAGTGAAAAAATGATTTTAATATAAGGGACATTATTCTCTTTAGAAACTGAATGTGAATAGTGTGATGTAACAACAGAAATTATGGCCGTTGAATTTTATAACTCAGTACAACCTAGGCTATATAATTCCCTAGTTTTGTATTCTTGCAGGAGTTGTTCAATCACCATTATTTATTCTCTCCATATGTGGTGGTGAGTAAGTTACTTCCCTTACTGTACTGAGGTAATCATAAAATTTGAAAAATATACATAAAAAGCCATAAGGACAATTCTGAGAGAAAAGTAAAATGCTCAACTCTCACCCAATAGATCTTAATAATTTCATTGCAGTATGATGACTCCTGCCACTAGAAATGTTGAAATACAAAGAATGACTTCTTAGCAACACTGTGATACATTGTAAATTAATGCTGAGTTTTATATGTATAGTTGTCATTGAAAGTCCATTCTGAATCTGAGACTTTGAGTTTACATTAATGTAATGTATATGTGTAATAATGATCTAATAGAAGAATTATATATTTTAAAATGATATAATTGCATCAAATGATACAATTCATAATTTTTTCATACTGTTCTATGTCCTACAAAATTTATAATATATTCATTAACAAGGTCTTTTCAAATCTTTTCTTCAGATAAAGTGGGAGAAGTAGAAAGATAAAACATCGTATCTTCAATAAAATAAGGAAATCATAATAGGAACCAGGACTAAGGAATTTAAACACTCACATAAGATATTAATTATCCTGAGGTTTTATGTCAAAGGCTGACTTTGACAAAGCTGACTCATCATAGTGAATGAATCCAAGTGTTTCAGGTGAAAATGGATCAAACCTTTGAAATACTAAATTAAAATAATCCTTTTAATGAAAGATACTGAAAGTTTCAGAAAAGGATCTTCATACTGAATCTCTGACCACCAACTAATGATGCCATACATCTCTGATGCTGATTGGTTCTTCAACACTGAAATTACCCCACCCAGCACCACATGCTTGAGCATCTTGCTTCTCAGTATATGGGATGGGGGCCAGGAAGGATCATAGCACTCACTGTGTGAGATTTGTCTGCTCCTCTCTGACCCAGTTCTCTCTTGTTTCCAGCATGGCGTATCTGTGGCTCCCCAGAGGCTCCGGTGTGACAGCTCTGACAGTGACACTGATGGTGCTGAGCCCTCCTGTGACTTTGGTCAGGGACACCCGACGTAAGTGCACTGCTCAGGTGCTGAGCTACTATGTGTGGGTGGGGAAGGAAGGGAGTTCATTTGCTCACTTTGTCCAGGCCAAGTCCCTTACAAAACTGTGATTTTTTTTCCCTGTGACCACTTATTCTTTCCATATGAATCTCAAATTATTTCTACAAGGAGCCCTGATTCTCATCCTTTCCATAAGAGCTCCATTTGGGCCCCCCATGGAGTCCATTTCTTCCCTACTCTCCTCCCAAGAAACCTCCCTAGCCTTACATCAGATTCTCTCAGAGTTTGAAAGGACTGAACCTAACAGTGAGTGCTAAGATAATTTCCTATTCAGCACTTGCCTTTACCCTGTGGAGTTATGCCAGGAAAAGGAAAAGTTTTTCTGGAAATTATATGTGGAGTCAAAGGGAACTGCAAGAATCCCTCCTGGAAGAACCTCTGACGTGGCTGCCTTATAACATGTAAGGATGTACCAAGAGACATCTTTCATTATCTTCTCTTTTCCCCTGAACTCTACTGTTTATGAAGCCCATGCCCGTGTGCTGGAGGTGCTCTGATGAAGCTGGGGTTAGGGCACTCTCTTTCTCCCGTGGAAAGTACCCTGCACATGACGCAGAGCAGTAAATGCTCAAAATAACCTTACAGATAAGGAGCACCTGTGGGCTGTTCTTTGGTTCCTGAAACCATCTTCTGAAAACCCAGCATGGGTTAGTTATCGTTATGACCCTCATTTGAACCTTTCTATCCCGTCAGCTTACCCTACACCTCGCACATCTCTAGCTTGAGCCTATTAGAACAGATTCACAAGTGGGAGTAAAGCATGTGAAATTCTTCTGTAAATTACAAGTAGTTAAAACCAGCCATTTCATAAGGTTCAAAGTATGTACCCTTAGCAGGGGTACAGAGAGATTGTAAAGGTTAACATCTTATGAAACTGAAATCCAATAAACGAGGAAGTTTGGTCTATTTGAGTCTTTTCCCACATTTCATAGATTTCTTCATCGTTCCTTCTGTTTTCCTTAATTAGCTATGTAAGTTTTCCTCCACTTACATCTTTTCCCTAATTCTTTCCCCCAGATATGTGTTGATTTTAAGTTTCTTTTATGCAGTCCAATGCTGAGGGGTTTAAAGCTGCACATGCTTAATTGTTGGATCATCTCATAGAGGAAAGGGAAAGAGGGGAGAGAGAGAGAGAGAGAGAGAGAGAGAGAGAGAGAGAGAGAGAGACTGGATTTTATAACAAGCCCATATACACAAATGAGCCTACTTCTATTATAAAGACATTAATCCACTTATGAGGACGGGACCCTCATGACCACAGCATCTCTTAAATGTTCCACCTCTAAACACTGTTGCACTGGAGTTTACAAGCCATGCACTTTGGGGGACACATTCACCCCTCAACGTTCTGTCCCTAGCCCCTCAAATTGGTATTTTTCTCATACAAAACAACTCATTCCATATCAACAGCCTCCAAAGATTAAGCTTTGAAAGCATCAAGTGAAAACTCCAAAGATCAGAGTTTCATCTAAATCAGATACAAGCAAGACTCAGGCTGTGGCAAATTTCCGTCCAGCTGTGAGACTCTGAAATGAAACAGTTTTCAACTTCCAAAATACAATGGTGGGAGACGTACAGGGCAGAGATTCCCACTGTAAATCGGAGACGTCAACAAGATGAAAGGGTTACCTGATGCCAATTACTTCCAAAACCCGATGGGGAAATTCTTAAAGCTGGAAAACAGCCCTCTTTGACTCCAAGCATCTCATTCTACAGGGCTTCGGGTAGCTCTGTCCCTATGGACTGCTGAGCTCAGTCCACACAGCAGCTTTCAAATTAGCACCTAAGCTTTCCAAGGCTGGAGTTGCATGTTTGGGCCTCTATACTTCTGTGGTCTCAGGGGATGGCCCACTGCCAATAGTCCACTGGACACTGCCTTAATGGGGACTCTGTGGTGGCCTCTGTCATATGGTTCCTCTCACCATTGCCTTGGTAGTCACCCTGGAGTGGCTCTGGCTCTGTAACAAGTCTCTTCATGGACCCCCAGGCCAGGCAATGCATCCTTTGAAATCCGGGTGGAGACCACCATGATTCTATAGCTCTTGTTTTCTGTGCACCTGAAAAATTAACACAACACTGAGGACACCAAGATTTACAGCTAACATATTCTGGCATGTTGGTTTGAATCATAAATTGACCCACTACTTGAGCCATGAATGATAGGGGTACAGAATTCTCAGAGCAGAATCCCAAGGCAGCACAAGGCAGTAAATGCTGAGATCCCACCGGCACTTCTCCGGGAACCTCATCTTCCATAGCCTCAGGGCCACTCCTCCACTGAATGATAGAACCTGGCTGTCATCTGTCTGTATTAATTTCTTTAGCAAACAAAGACTTGGCCATACCATTTCCTTCTCTTCTGAAGATTATTTTTTACATAGCTATGCTGAGAATTTTCCAAATATTGACATTTTTCCTCCTTTTTGATCATAAATTCTGTCTTCACTTATTTTACTGTAAGAAGCCAAAGAAATCCTTTTGAGAACTTGGGGATACTATTGCTTAGATATTATTTCTGCAACAAAGCTTAGTTTACTGCTTTTAAGATCTGCCTTCCACAACTCATAAACCATGAACACTATTCCATTAAGCTCTTTGAAACTGTATAATATGGATGAATTGGACTCCAGTTTCCAATGTCTTGTTCTTCATTTCTACCTGAGACCTCATCATGATTGCCTTTACTTTGCATATTTCTACCAGTGTTCTAGTAAGAGCTGCTTTAGTAATTCTTGTCAACTAAAATGCACTAAGTGTTCAAGAAAGAAAGGGCTTTATTTTAATGAAACAAAATGGTTAGCAAACTCAGGAGTTACGGACTTCATTATAAAACAAAAGTGCACTCAAAAGGAACAGAGAAGAAATAGCTTTCAGACAGGCTTTCCCACCTGTGTCGTGTCTTCATCCCGGTGTGCTTTATGCAAAAGAGGGGTGCAACTCTGTCTGTCTCTGCTTGGTGATATTCACATCTCTTTGTAAGTCACAGTTCATTGGTCAGGTGCAGGAAGCAAACTGTGACTTTCTGGAGGATGTTCACTTTAGCAATCAAAACAAGACTGTGCAACAGCCACAGAGTTTGGTCCATGATTCCCCCGGGAACACTGGCTAGGTGCATGAGGGCAAGTCAGCAAATGGCAGCCAGATTTCATCCTGAATTTCACCTCAATTAGCCAGCTGGGATTCTTCTTGGAGATTCAGCTTTTCTTAAATTTAACATTTCCCACTTTTGATCAAAACCTGTTGTCAGACAGCATTGATGATTGAGTAAAGTCACTATGTGCCACCGTGGTACCACAGTGGTTGGTTATCTGATGTGGGTGCGTCCTGTCTCCCATCTGGATTCTTGCGGCTGGGAAATTGAGAACTGGAGCCATTTCCTAATGAGGGGCACCCACATAGCTGTTAAATATAAAGTAAAGCCTCGTAGGTAAGTCGGTTCCATTCCCTATGACAAGTGATTCCGGAGGATTGAGGTGCTGAGTTAATGTGGTGCTAGCAGTGTCTCCTGTAAACATCTGCTAAAACAGTCTAGAAAGATCTTAAGTAGGAGTCAAATGTTTAGGCCTAATATGAGGAAGATCGCTAAAAACTGTAGAGCAGAAGTCAATAGGGAGCCATTTCCAGGGGGACATGAGCTTAAAATATCTGAGAACTGGAAGTTTCATCAGCCATGAGGACCTTTTGAAGGTGTTCTTTTTAGGAACTTAGCCAATTATAAGGTTTGAAACTTTCCGCATCACCCTGTCTAGGTGCATTTATCCCAGTTCTACATCAGCTAGTCAAAACAGCACAGGCATCATACTGTGCAACAAGGAGGTAACCCAACGGATTAGGGTCACCCAGGCCTACTTAGGTAAGGGAATCTGAAGGTCCTGCTGGGGCCCTCGTGGACTGGGCATCAGAACAAGCAGTCCTACTGACAGCACTGGAAAGGCTTCTGAGCATACTGCATACATTCTAAGAGGTGCCAACTCTTAGCCAGTGTCCTAATAGTTCTGTGTACTCTTTCTAACCCAAGCACCTGGACCAAATCTACCTGGTAGATCACAACCTCGCTACTTACATACAGATATATTACCCTTATTCAAAACTCAGGTGCCATCCTCACAGTCTGAGGGCTTGTCACCAGGGTGGTCTTCTATAATAAGGTAAGCCCTTTTTTCCCTGAGTGAAGGGAAGCTCTCTTACAATGACTTTAAATGTTATGAATGGGGTTGTGAATTATCCTCAAAGGCAAGTTCCTCCAATCCTCCAGTTTTTAAGGCACTTATACAATAGGCCAATATCATTTTTGTTCAGATTTTGTTCAGGTTTTGTTCAGAGGGTCAGGGACTACTGGGTGCTGGGAAAATGACTATGTTATTAACAATTCTGAGACCCTATGGGAGTCTCCCTTCTTTTCTGCTAGTTTGTGGACAGGCAGAATGGGAGTATCACAAGAGCTGGTGCAGGAAACAACCATTTTCTCATGTACAAAGTTACTCACTGTGGGTTGTATGCCAGCCAAGGCCTCAGGGCTCCTGGGTGTTGCTAGAGAGAAGCTTGTTACGATCCACCTAGATTTTAATTGGAGATTTTGAAAAATATGATCATATCAGTATTGGGATGAACCCGAAGCTTTGGGTCATTCTAGAGGGGTGGAGAGGCTAGGGATATGAGGTTACAGGGTGAGGGCGGGCTGGGTGGGGCAGCTCCGTAAGACCAGAGCTGGCAGGATTGATTCTAGCGTCATTTCCAAGAGACATGGGTTTGATATGCTTTCCGAAAGATGTCTCCCCAAAAGATGTATAGGTACTGACATCATAGTGACTGAGAAACAGTAACTTCACAAAAGAGGCTGACTTGGAAAGAAATGGGTAGGGATTTGAGAACTCCCCTAAGTTGCTTAGCACTCTGAAGATCTCGATAAAATCAGAACCCTGGAGAGGAAACTATTGAAATTCTGTCAGGGTGAAGGATAGACATGTGGCTTCAAAGTTAACCAGAGCACTGAATAATTTGTTCCCAGTCTTACAGCTAATTCGCCCAATTGGTTTTAAGTGGGGGAAATGTCCCCAGACCAATTCAGGCTAGCTTGGATGGAGAAGGGGAGGTAACTTTGTTACAGTTTGATGGCAGCTTGCGTTTGTATGAAGACAGCCCATTTTGCAATGGCCTGTGTGCGCGGAAAAGGCAGCCTTCTGACCTGAGCTGCAGGGGTGGTTGGATGACCCTCTTTACTGGTCAACGGGAGGACTTTAGTTTGACGGTTTTCCCCTGGGAACGTAAGGCTCTGGGAGCTGTAGGTTCTTGCCCTTTTTCTATGGTGCTGGACAGCTGGTTAGCTAGGGAAGCTATTTCACAGGACATTTTGTTGCCCGGTGGAAATTGTGTCGTTCACATAGGTTGCTGAGAGTGGAAATGGCAACCACAAAGATCAAGTTAAAGTAGTTTTGTTGAAAGGCTTGTTCAAATCCATCCAAGTGGTTGAGGATTGACTCATCCTTTTGGGTGTGCAATCTTGGACAGCTTTCCAGGTCATCTTCTGAGGAAAAAATCAGAAAAGTGGCCCTTCTAGGCTAGCTGCCCTTCACTGATTTACCAAATCCTAATCTGGAAGCTGGTTTAAAATCCCCAAGGGTGTTTCCAATTCAGCAGTTAACATCCATGCCTGGGCCAGCACATTCCCCACAAGCATGTGGTTAAATTGGAAAGATCTCAAAATCTAGCTTGGTAGGCACTAATGATCAGGATAAATTGTTGTTGGAAGTGAATGGATTGGTTTTAGGCTTTTCAGAATCTTTGATACTGGTTAAACATTCTGATTTGGTCTAAAAAGTTAAGTAACATGTCTGTTTCCATTTCCTGTCTTTTAGATGTTAAAGGGAGCTGCTAGGGAAAGAACCTAGGGACAGCAGCAGGGGAGCTGGGGCAGGAGAAGGGGAGATCTGAGAGTAGGAAGCGGGAAAGAGGGAAGTGGAGGGGAGGCAGATGAAAGGTGAGGAGAAACAGTAGCAGCAGCATTTGCAAGAGGATCCATGATTTTCGATTTATGTGAATTGCTATTGCCTTTTCTAGTTAGTAATATAAAGCCACTCCTTTAGTTTGTAATTATTCACTTTGAGAGATGTAATAATAGATTTTTAAGCCCATTTGGACATTTCAAAATACTAAATGAAGAACGCCTTGTACTGCCTCTGAGAGGCTCCCTGGGGACGGCGATCGCTGACAGAATGATGACCTAGACTAACAGCGCTAACACAGCAGCAACATGAGACGTGACTTGGGACAGCAACTTCTGTTCTGTTTATTAATTTCTCATCTGTCACAAAGCAGAGAATTTACAAATAATAAGAAAGGCCTTGTCGGATCCAGAATTCACACCTCCTGCCATCCTTTCTCCAGGGCTAAGTCTGGAGATCTGCCAACATCCTGTAAATGGTCTGTCCACCTGAAGACCCATGTTCTCGGTGTCTCCCTGCTGTGGGGACCTGGCCATAAACCTACAAGTCCTGGCCAAGCCTGCTAAACCAATGACTACTGGGAACTTGGAAGAATATAACGCAGTAGAGGCCACTGAGTAGACATGAAAGAGTGGTGAAGACAAAAGGATCCACCTTCCTTGGCTCCTGTCCAGTGACTGTGCTTGGTGCTGGAACTGGTCCTGTTGGCCACTTTCATGGACCTGGGGGACCCAGATCATAGCTTCCCTAAGTCCCAAGAGGAAGGAACAAGTCGGGCCAGGGCTTTTGGTACCAGCAACTATGGCTCCCAGTCCACAGGCTCTGGAGGAAATGTCCCTAGGACCCTGTGTTAGTTACTTTTCTCCCCTTGCTGAGCCAAAATACCAGACACTCAAAGTTAAAGGGGAGAGGGTTTATTTAGATCACAGTTTGTTGAGGTTTCAGTCTATAATCAGCTGGCTCCAAGGCAGGGTGGCACATGGCAGAGGAGGTTGCAGAGGAGAAACAGTTCATGGCGCCCACACAGTAGCAAAAGCAACGAGGGGCCCTTAACAGTGTCTTTCTGCCCCTTTTATCTTATCCAGACTACCATGAATAGGGCAGTGCCAAGCCAGTCAGCCCATCAGTGGACACCCTTCATCCCAGCATCACATGCTCTAGATCCAACCACCTCTCAAACACCCTCTATGACCACATGAGGCTTTGGGGGAACATCTAGACGCAAGCTATAACAGTCCTCCAGGGAACGTGCAAGTGCATTTGGGACTATGGGACTGGCATCCATGCTCCTGGAATTGTAGGACATGGATGATCTACATTTTTTATGTCATCCTCCTTTAATTTGTTTAGTTTTTTTCTGATAAACTTGTATCATATATTGAAATATATATGATCCTTTTTCCATTCATAAGATGATATTTTACATGTGCTTCCTCTGCTAGTCCATTTACAAACACGGACACAGTCCCAAGTCTGAGCCAAATATTTGTAAAGGATTCTTAGTTCTCCTTAAACTGCAGTAAGGATAGAGTTTAAAAATTCTATATACCTGCTTTTTATGGGACAAGATTCTTAGTTCACAAGATTTCAGCCCAGATGCCATATGAATGACATTAAAAGCCAAAACTTCGTCTTTTGCAAGCAGTTCAGGAGTATGGTGTGGGGAGCATTTGTACAGGAACAATAAAATTATAGATTTTCCTGAGAGCTCAGCTTGCTTGTAATGAATTTAAGACAATGAGTCAAAGTGGCTACTGAACCTGTTAAAAACACATCTCTGATTGTTCATATTTTCTTTTTAAAAAAATAATTCACAAGTGAAATACACCTTGCAGACATGCTGGATTTTGACTTTGTCCAGTTACTGCTGCTCTTGCTTGTAGCGAGCATTATCATACCCAAGAAGAGTAAAACTTTGTTTAGAATCTGTAAGGGTTTTGAAAATAGCTTTGCTTCTTATTAGATATTATGAACATTTTTAGAAATCGGATCCCAGTCTGGGCTTTTTCTCAGCTAGATAAATTTGTTCAGAACCAAGGTCTTCATTAGATGGTGTATTGGTGAAGTTTTCTATGTAACTCTCAGCTCCTTCACAATTACCTGTGGCTTTTCTCACCACTGATATTTCAGGTGGTTTTCACCAGTGGTGCTTTAGCCCAGAACAGTTTTGCTGTTGAGCTGTTCCACAGCTCACTGCCAGCTCCCACAAACAGACCTCGGGCAAATTGTCTGCTTCAAAATGTCACAGAACAGAGGTTGAACACATTGCTTTGCATTGTGCTGCTTCCAAAATTCTAGATTCGTGTGTTTCATAAACACTTGCCTTGCAGTTCAGTTCCCTGTGGTTTATTTTAGCTTTTCTCACTACAAAACAAACCAATTAGGACAGCTGCATAAATTCTCCATCTTCTTGTTGAATTCATTCTGTCAAGGCAAGTTCAAGATCTTTGTTTTTGGCTATTCTACTTTATGCAATGTTTTTCAATATTTCATGAGTTCTTGGTCCCCACCATTTCTGTTAAGTTTCAGCAACTTGCCTTTGCAAGTCATAAATAGTGGTGACTACCACCAATATTTTTCAAACTCCTGCAGTTATTCTGTACTATTGATCACATCAGATGCTTGAATTTATTTGTCTCACTTTAACCACTTATTTTAAACCTCTTTTTAAACATTTTGTGGTTCAATTAAATATAAGAACAAAAGTAAATATATACATATGGTAGGTGTATGGACAGGTATGTATATGAGCTGTAAGTACATGTTTCCATATATTGAAAATACAGAGGCACACGTGATTTACTGACCCATAAAGGCATATCTTTACCTTTACTCCTTCAGTCAGATTTGACAAATGGAAAAGGAGAGGGATCTTTCTCAAATGGGAAGGAGATCAAGGAAGGAGAGAGGGGTCAGGGAGGGTAGGGGAAAAAATAGAAAGATGTAGCCAGAATGGAAGTGTGGGGAAGGGGGCCTAAAAAGAATTCATGTGTGTTTCGTATACGTGCCATGCCTCACAATGAATGTAATCATTATATAATGCCAACAGATACTAACAATATAAAATTTTTTTAAATATATGGCTTTGGATTTGGAAAGTCAGATAAAAGATTTTGGATCAGTGCTATGATCATGATTTTAATCCTTCAACCTCTCAGTGGTCTTCCAGTACTTACTGTAAATCCAAACTCCCGATAATAACAAGACTTTTAAGTATCCAGTTGTCCATGGCTTCTTCAGTCTCATCTTCTACCCTCTTCCCCTCATTTGGTGTTTCAGTCCCCTGTTGTCTTTTTTTTTTTTTTTTAAGAAATTCATCAATTCGTCAAGCTTTTGCACATGGTACTACCTTACCTGACATGTTTCCCCCCTTTCCCCAAAGGTGCCTGCGACACACCCTTCCTCCACCTCAGGCTGACTGAACGTCTGTGACACGTCGTAAATGTCACTCCTCAGAGTCCTTCTCTGGCGCCTCCCGTCACTTAGATCTTCCTCTGTTCACTCCACACTTGCCTTCTGACCCATCTTACTCCCGCGTAACTTCTTGTATGTTTGTCTTCCACTAATTAAATCGCCAGGAGAGGAGGGGAGATGTTTGCTTCTCAGTCTTTGGCAGCACAGGCCTGTCTCGGGGGCAACATAGAGCAATCTCAGAGGGAAGGCGGTGGACCTGTGTGAGGGAGGACAGGGCAAAGCACTGTTGCCTGGGAGGCGGAACAGAAAGTCTTTCAGGTGGAGCTTTCCTGGAGGAGGGCAGGATGAGGGGCAGCCAGCTTTGGCCTGTTGGCGTCTGATCCAGCCCGGAGAAGGAGCGGGGCCAGGAGGGTGCCGCATCGGAAGGGTTTCTGGTAGTTGCAGGGAGAGCACTGCATCCAGAGCCAGTCAGACGTGTCCCCGGCTTTCCCCATGTGCCCAGTGCCCTCGCCGCGGGTGTCACAGTCGCTCTCCTCGCAGGGCCGCCTGTGACCGTCCTTCCTGTCCCCACAGGGCGTTTCTTGGGGCAGATGAAGGGTGAGTGCCGTTATGTCAACGGGACGCAGCAGGTGCGGTTCCTGAACAGATACATCTACAACCAGGAGGTGTTCGTGCGCTTCGACAGCGAGGTGGGCAAGTTCCAGGCGGTGACCGAGCTGGGGCGGCCCATCGCGGAGGACCTGAACAGCCAGAAGGACGTCCTGGACAATTACCGGGCCGGGGTGGACAGGTGCAGAAACAACTACGACCTGGTCAGGCTCCTGTCAGGGCGGTCAGGTGAGCGGGGCTGGGGGCGGCCGGGGTCGGGAGGTCGTGAGTGTGAGTGAGTGTGTGAAGCCCTGAGTCACTGCTGACCTTGCCGGGGCTTCTCTGAGGTCAGAATTGCCTGCTATTGCTTTTCATTTGCTTTCTTAGTATGGGTTTGTTACCAACCTGAACTGATGGACAAACTGGTCGTTTAATTGTAACTTCGTTACTTACTATAGTATTACTATTCTTATATAGTGCTCATACTACTTCAATATTGACCCACTCCTTTGTGTAGTTAGGGCAATTTACTTCAAATTACTTCTTCTGTTTTCAGTACTCTCAAATATTCAGTTAAAAATTTTTATTTTTGTATGTTTAATTTCTTGTTTTGGTCTTTTTATTTTTTTAATTTTAATTTTTATTGGTTCTTTGTTTGCTTAATTACTCTTTCTTTGATTTCTAAGTTTCTTGGACATTTTTCACACTTATTGCCCAATAAGAATCATCTCTAAGAATTATCTACTCATGTCTGATATCTCTGGGGTCCTTGTGTTTTCCTCAATGTTTTATGTGGTCTCTATGCAGTAAAAATATAACACTTTGGTGATGTTTGCTTTAGTATTTCCTTCACTTTGTGGTTTATAGTTTGATTCTTTTTATTACTTTCTATGTTAATAATTTAAATTTTTACTTAATGAAAATTTCTGCAAAATTGTCAGTATTAACCAATCAATATTAAGTGTACCATTTTTTTGATATTTTTAAAAAGTATTTTCCCCAGGTTTATCCTTTTTAAAAATATGCATTTATTGAGGTTTTGTCAAGGTTAGTCCCAGGCACTAAGCACACGTGCTGGACTCAGCCAGGCCTCACGGGCCCATCAGAAAGAGAAGCAGCTGTAGGATGATAACAATTCTGATAATGATATGTTTAGTTAAAAAGGGTCATCAACAAAATGGAAACACAGAAACTTTTTGAAGAATGGCTTTCCTTACTCCTTTCCCTCTTCTCAGGACTCAAGATTTCCCTGGGACTCAGTTCTCGGCCCTAGAGAGTCACCTGTCTGACCATTCTTCCCAGGGTGGGCCTCTTCTGAGGCATTTTAGGGCATAGTCCATTGAGGTAGTGCGCTCAGCATCCAGCCATTCACACTGCTTTGAGTCAGAATTTTCCTCAAAGCATAATTAATATATATAACATATATCGAAGGCTAAGTTCCAGTCATTGCATATATTTTAGGTACAGTAACCTCATAAATCTGTATCATTATTCTCCTTAGAGGTGAGAAAGTGGAAATAAAAAGAAATGTAATTCACTGTGATCAACCAAAAAGAGGCAGATCCAGGATTTCAACTCAAGTAGTCCAGAAATCATGCTGCTAATTAATATGCTATGTTTTCAAAAATTTGTAAATATTTCAATTCAAAAATGAATAATTTTTTTCAAAATATAAACAAAACTAAACATAATTTGCTTCCATGTCTCTCAGATCCAGAAGGTCCCTAATATAAGGGTTCAAGTCAAGAATCAAGACACCATTAGGTCTTGTGGCCAGCTGAGAGGGGACTGTTATACCTGACCTGGGAACAGATGGAGGCAAAAAGGCATCCAGCCAAGACGGATTACTCCAACTTCCTGACTAATTCTTTCTGCCTTTTCTTCTCTAGTTGCGCCCAGCATGACTGTGTACCCCACAAAGACCCAGCCCCTGCAGCATCACAACCTCCTGGTCTGCTCTGTGAGTGGCTTCTACCCAGGCCACATTGAAGTCAGATGGTTCCGGAATGGCCAGGAGGAGGAGGCCGGGGTGGTGTCCACAGGCCTGATCCAGAACGGGGACTGGACCTTCCAGACCCTGGTCATGCTGGAAACAGTTCCTCAGAGTGGAGAGGTGTATGCCTGCCAGGTGGAGCACCCGAGCTGGAGCAGCCCTGTCACCGTGGAGTGGAGTGAGTGGGAACCCTACACCTTATAAATGCCCAACCCACCTAAATGGTCTTTCCTCATCTCTGAGTGTCAGATTTCTCTTTTCCCTACACCATTATTTTGTTTGCTCCAAGTTCTCCTCTCTTTCTGCACAAATCACTGGGATAGCCCTGTGATAGTTTCTACAGGAACTTATATGCCTGGTGAAATCAGTTATACCTCCTAGGCAAAAGAGAAGCTGTCCTTATTTTGAACCTTCCTCTAATATCAGAAGTGAAGATCACTGTATATATTTAGCTTGGCACGATCACAAACATCTGAAATGGTAATCAGTGTGATTGCCCCAGTACAACTCCTCGTTTTGCCTGCATAGTTTTCTAGCAGACTGTAAATATACAAAATTATTGGACTAGTATGTAGAATTTTACACCTGGACCATGAAGCCAAGGAAGTGCCTGACTCTTCAATATTAGCTTAAGATAAACCATGCACAATACATCTTAGATGAAGGCACTTTTGGCCTAACCTTCCGATCCAGATCATAGGAATCTTCCACTAATAGTTTGTAGTCTGTTCAATTCTAGATCTGTTTACCTGTCTTTCTTCTGTGGCAAGGAGCCTTGGGGCCAGTCCTCACACACTGAGGCTTATTGTTCTAGAATAATTGGCGAGACAGTCAGGAGATCAAGGCAATGAGTAAAGGAAGTAAGCATTCATAAAGGACATCCTGGGTTAGCCATCTAATTCAATGTGGGTAGGAGTGGCCCTTATAGTACATGTTTTCAGTCTACTATGCAACCACAGTAACACTCCAAAATAGCTGTTGATTTAGTAGTAGCTGCTTGCTGAATACCATTTATCCCACTGTGGGGAAAAAAGGGAGTGTCTTGCTGGTGCAACGGGATGACTAGTGCCATGAGCAAGTCAAATGTTCTCCAACGACCAACTGGCTTCAGAAGAGAGAAGAAAGAGACTAAGAGATACGGCTCAAAAGAGACATGCGTCTCTCATTCAGCCTCCTGTTAGCTTCTCACCTGGCTGAGAAAATGGCAAGCTTAGAGGACAAGTCTGAAATCCCAGCTTGCTGTATTTCGTGATTAGCTGCAGGGGAGGGCAGAGAAGTGGAAGAAGAAGTAATGCAAGCTATTTTTTCTTTTGCTTATTTATTTATTTATTTTAATCGGTACCTGTTCATAGAGCCTAATGATTACACTCGTTGCGGGGAGTTGGAGTATGTGCATGACATTTCTTAATTCTTCCCTGCACCTCTTGGCCCCTTCTCTCATATACAATGGCAGTGGGAGCTCTTTAGACCTCTGAATACCTGTAGAGAGAAAGATGGGGAATAAAAGAAAGAGACAGAAACAATATTCAGTGTGCAAGGGGGGACTGGGAGGAATCTATCTGTAGTGGATAGGCTTCCATGAACTCCAGGTGGAGCTGCTTTTATTATTCAGAAACAGGTGCAGGGGAGTGGGTGTCCCTGTTCCAGGAATAGTGATAGGGACCAAGTTTAGCATCTCAAAGGGAAAGTTAATGTCCTTCCCCACACCAGGATGCCTGCATAATTTATTGTCCCCAGTAGAAGTTATCTTGCCTTAGGAGTGCTATGATTATGCCTTTCCACATAGCCAGGAAGTCTGCAATCTTATACATACTTCACTGTCCCTGAGGCAGGTCAACCCCGACCTTGGGCCTGTGGGGCCTGTACTCTGTCCCCTCACCAACTATGCATATCATGGATTGTCCCCAACACAGTGGTACCTCAGTTCATGAACTTCATTTGTTGTACAATTTTGGAAAAGATGGCCACATTTGTGTCTGGGTGGGAAAGTGGCTGTGGTCATGTTTACCACCCAGTTCGGAGTTTACAAACGAAAACAAAATTTTTGCAAAGCATTTATGGACTGCGGTACCACTGTTTGTACATGTTTGCAGGACTTGTGATGATGATCACACTCCTCACAGGGACTTGGTGCATATACGCAGCACTTCACAGCCCCACCTTTTAAATCTTATTTCCCTCCTCTCCCTCACTCCTCCCTCCATCTCTCAATTCTTTTCTCATATGCCAAAGATGCATCTCACTATGTCCTATTGTGTATCTTTTATTTCAGATGCAAGCTGTTATCTCTCAATTAGAACAGGCTTCAAAGGCTTGAAATTCCTAAGAGTAGGGAAGTGAAGAAGAACTTGAGACTGAAGTAGTAGAGGATGTCCTCTCTACCTGGGAACCTTGCTTGTTTATCTATTAACACAATACTTGAATGTGATCACAAAGTGTGGTAGGAAAAAATGATGAATAATCTAAGAAAGAAAAGAAATAAATGGCTGGTTAAATTAGCTGGAAAGCAGATGTGATGATTTGTTTCATATTAGAATCCTTAAGCAAAAAGAGAGGTAAATAATCTGACACAATGCTGGTCACCCTATGGAAGGAACTTCTGCCTAAACACTTTCCATCTGCTTCTCTTTGAGAAAAGCATTCCTTGGCATTTCCAGCTATGGGTATGGATTCCTCCACTTCTCCTGATTAGGAGTGGTGCCACGTTCACCCCAGAAAAAGGGGTATAAGGGAAGACCAGAGGCTCATTGAAAATCACTCTCTACTTGTCCACTGACCATGGCAAATGCTGTCATTCTTGTAGATGTGACTACTTGTAGATATGTAAACTGATCCATGGCAAACCAGAGTATTTTCTGGAGCCCCAGCAGTTGTTTATGGATATGGGGGTAAGATGCCTAGATGAAGACAAATATTTTTTGAATCTAAAAGTAGGGAGATTGAGCCCTGATCCATATATGGTACTAATCGTTCCATTCTCTGAGAACATTCTGGGATCGGGCATTTCACCAGAAAAGACATTATAGACCTCTGTGGGGCAATTTAAACCCAAGGTTTTGGTAGTAAAGATAGTGTTGAGGAGGAAGCAAACTGAGACCCTGGCAGCCTTCCTCTCCCCAGAAGAATAATAAATACCAGACAGTATAACCTTCTAGGTGAACATCCTGAGATTGGAGACACCACAAAAGAATTAGAATGGGCTGGGTCTTTATGATCTGCTCACAGTGCCTTCTGTACCCATGTCTGGGCAGTGAAAAAGCTGGATGGATCTTGAAGAATGATTCCAGACTCACTCAGTCAGCTTATTTTCACTTGGGAGGAAAGGCACTGGATATTGTTTTTGATATCACCGAAGGTTTCATTATTTGGATGATATGATAACTGGAAAAGATTACTCTGTGATAAGACACAGTAGAATGTATATTCGCCTATGCATGAGAGGAAGAGTTATCATCTCCAACAAGATTCAAGGTTCTGGTAGTGGTGTGGTAGAACATGATCCAATTGATTGCAGGCACAATGCAAGACAAAAAGCAAACAAACAGTTTACTTGTTTCCTGTACGGTGAAGAATGTGTAGGCTTTTGTAGAGCTCTTGGTTATTGGTGGGGTTTTATTTCTTATGTAGCTCAGTGCTTATGCCCACTATATTGGCTTATCAAGAAGGGAACAAAAATGGGAGGGGAGTGTTCCCCATAGAAAGCATTTGAAAAAACAAGTATTTTGATATATCAGGTGCAGGCTCTGGGAACCCCTGTGCCAATAGTGCCAATACAGTTAGATGTCACTAGTACAGCACACAGTATGAGTTGGACTCTCTAGCAAGAACAAGGTCAAGTCTTAGGTCACCATTCTGGAGGGAGCCAGAACCTTATTTCCTCTTTTAGAACAGCAGTTTCTAGCAGGGCCCTCCTACAGTCAGAGCCCCTGACCAAGACTTCATTGGCCATTGTGTGAACTGGCCAACCTCTGCAGTGGGCAGATGGCCTATTTCACTGGCCTCAGCCTGGTATAGTGCAGCCCTTACTCTCAGTAAGTGACACGATGTATGCATTTACATTAATTCAAGGTCTTCTCCAATAGCTTATTAACTCCCAGGGTCCCAGTAAGTGTTGGGCCCAGTTACCTATAAAATTACCTCAGTACTTAACCTCTGTTACACAACATGGCGGCAGCCGCTGGTGGCCGGCCCTGTGCCCACAATCTCACAAGTGCATGAGGGGGTGGCCTGCATACCAGGGAATGCCTGGTATGCAGATGGGTTCAGCAGAGGACCTGTGTCTGGACCAATGATGCAGTGCAACCTATTAAGATTTTGTCTGGTTTGAAGCAGGAGAAAATCCGATCAGCCAAGGAGCAGAATGAGGACAAAAGCTTTTAGTAGGTTTTGTTCACAGCAAATTTTGTCCCTGTTGATCTTGTTGGCATATGAGCCTGTGGTTATGGGTGATGCCCTCAGTGGGCTAAAGAATTCTTCTGTGTTCTGCAGTCAGCCTCCTGGTCTGGTGGGTCATTTCATCATCAGTTTTAGGAACTGCTTACGGATCCCATCCTGCTGGCCAGCATGAGCGGCACGCTCCATCACACTAGCCACTAGTGGCTGCACTGTCCTGTCTAATAGAGATGAGGCCACCGATACTCTTTACGGGTAGTGTAGATTTACCTTTAAAGGTCCCCACAAAGCAGTTATTTTCCACTCATAACTGCAGTTTCGGTCTTTTGCTGGCTTTACTGTTTTCCCTGGGATCTATGCAGATATTGAGACAAACTGTTATGTGTGCACCTGATATCAGACACCTCGTGTCACATGTAAAACACCCAAATCAAAGCCTTGTCTGATCCTGTCCCTCTTGTAGGACACACACTAAGCTGTTAGGTTCCTGGGGCTCCGGGTGAAGAACCTGATGGTTACTATCACGCACATAATAGTTCCCTGTCTCTTTTTGTGCAGTGTTGCTGTGAACCCTGCTTACAAACCAGAAAAATGGCCTCACAGCATGCTGCCCACACAGCACTAATACGCATCACAGACTCAGAGCATGTTTCAGAAGAGGGGCTGCATGAGATTGTAAAAGCCACTTATAAGAGATGGAATGTATGGATTTAGCCTGACTCAACTAAGCCAAGCTGAGCTATTACCACCAAGATGATCCTAGAGCAACCCTAGTTGGGCTTTTTCTGCATAATTTCTCAGAAAACCACTGGAGTAGTATGTGGAGCTTTACAACTGGGCTCTGGTGCTGTAAAGGTGCCTAACTCTTTGATACTATCTTAACATAAACCAGGTACATTTTGGCTTAGATGAAGTCACATTTGGTCCTAACTGATGCATAGACCCCTCTTTTTAACCCAAATTGCAGAGATCTACTTGATCATGCTGCTGCCAAGGACCACACTTCTGTCACTGAGTCCCACAGTAAACTGCACTCTGTGCCATCCTAGGCCCGGCTGCCTCTCTTTCACTGGGCATGCTGGAACCAGTCCTCATACAGCAAGGCGGAGCTTTCCAGAATAGGCACCATGTCCTCACTGCTCCAGGCCCTGCCTGTGGATTGAACTTATGTCCCGGATGCTGCTGCTCTAGCCTGTTCAATGATTTGAAAAGAGGATCCATACAGGTCTCCTTGACATGAGAGGAGTCCACTCTTAGCCCTGTCCTTCACCCTAGACAAGCTCTGTAACCTTACTGGACCTCAGGTTCTTTAAAAATCAGGTGATTTAAAAAAATTAGATAGTTCAAGGCTGGTATATTTAAATGAGTTCAAGGCCTAAATGTTGTACCGATTCATTGTGATTTCTACATCGCTCTTTCTAAGAATAAGCAATTCTAACATTCCTAGTGCAGGCACCTTCCTGTGGTGTCAAAGCTCTGAATCTGAGGGTCTCAATGAGAGAAGTTGGACTTAGACCAAAAGTCACTAAACCTGGCGTCTTCTCTCAGGGGCACGGTCTGGATCTGCACTGAATAAGATGCTGAGTGGAGTTGGCGGCTTTGTGCTAGGGCTGCTCTTCCTCGGGGCGGGGCTGTTCATCTACTCCAGGGCTTACGAAGGTAAGGAGCCTGTTGGTAGCTAAGAATTTCTATCTTTCCCCCTATTTTTGGGGAAAGATATAGATTTTTCTCAGATTAGTTATCAGCATATCCATGACTCTGTATTAAGCCTTCCCTTCCCCAGTCGATCTCAAATTCCCTGGAAATACAGAAATCATGTCTATGTTTACTAAAGGTTTATGGCTACAGAGATAAAAGAAAGGGTAATGAGAAACTGAGGTTAATAAAGCAGGAGCCACTGAACCCTGCGTTTGTGGGACAGAGGCTTCCTGGGTCACATGTTCTCAGTCCGTGCTCACCCTGTCCTGGCTGGCGTGCATCGTGTGGTAGAGAAATCTCGGGTGGCAGTCTGGTCCTGGAACACTGTCTTTGGGAGATGAATCTGTGTCCATGCCATTTAAGTATCTTCCTTTCTTTTCCCAGCACACCCTGGACTGCAGCCAACAGGTAATGTCCTTTAACCTTCCCTCAGAGGCGTATTTGCTTTCCTTGCAACAGATGATAGAGGTGACAAAAGCCAAGACAGAAACAGTAGGAAAGACTTGGGGCCAGATTTCTGATCTGGAAGTTTGCACTAAATGCACGTAGTAAGAGGCTGTGCTCTGAAGCAACACTGGCTCTGGAGACTTGAGAATGTATCTCTCTTTTTTCTGCAATGCTATCAAGAGGGGTCCTGAGAAGGGAGAGGGGCCCACATGCAGTTCGGTCTGGAAGCACCACGGTCTTTTGTCCTCTCCAGGCTTCCTGAGCTGACATGAAGGTGACAACACTGAAGGATGAACCAGTGTCGCTATCCCTCGACACTGTGCCAGGCTTCCTGCTTGACTCTCATTCCTCCCCAGAGACCTGGGTCCCCCAGTTCAGTGACCTACAGAACATGTCCTTCCTTATGCTTCCTTGAGCACCGCTGACCTGGAAGCCCCAGTGCAGACTCCAGGACCTTCTCCTCCTTCTCCCCGGCCCCTTTGTGTTCAATCCTTACTGTCTCCTGTGTCTCTGAACTCACTTTGGGCCACATTATATTATTATATTTTTCTCAAGCAAACATGGAGTGAAAGATCATCTGCATCATATGGTTCTGAGGACAAGAAATAGAAAAGAGAGGATAACATCACAATACAGAAATGATCTTCATTTATGTATAATTCGGTGAGGGGACACATACGTCAAATAGGTTGTTAACCATTCCCCAATGTATTTGTCTATCGAACATCATGCTGTACACCATAAATAATTTTATTTATCAATTTTTACTTGTAATTAAAAATGAGACAAAAAGCTTAAAAAGTCAGTGCCTCAAATCTCAACACTAACTAGTGATCAAAACAAAATAACAGAAGAACTTGATGAGAAGCAAGCTTAAAAAAGCAAGTAAACACTTTTACAATTTCGACTATAATTTCATACCTATAATTGCAAATCTAAATGCATAGACCTTGTCATCGTCCTGTTATAGCAGGTGGATGGCTGCCAGAGAAAGGCATGTGAATTGGTTGATAAGAAGGGTTCTGCTGTTGTGATCCATCTGAGGATTCAGCTGCTTCAAATGTAAATCAAATCAAAAAGCAAATAATCAATTTAGAAGTTTATTTTAGAGGAATAATCATCTGAATATAATTTCTCCACCATTACATACAGCTCCTAAGTGCCCCACCTTGGTTTTCAGCTGTTATTTAAGTTAAAGAAAATATCCAAAAGAAATGGAAACAAATGTCCTACCCCAAGATATGTGTGCAAATGTTAAGAGAAGCATTGGTTACAAGAGCCAAAACAGGAAACAATCCAAATAGCAGCCAAGTAGTAAATTGATAAACAAAACATCCTATACTTATACAATATAATACCATTCGACAATCAAAGGTTCCATATAACTTGTGGTATTTGTTCCTCAAAGATTACAATTACTGAAGTAGATTGAACTTGGGGTTTTATTGTGGAATAAATTTATCTTCTCGATTGCACGTGTAACTCTCCATATTTCATGCCATTTGTTGGTTTTGGGAAATTGTACATTTTAGTAATGACCCATTACTTACAATTTTGTTTTTGTAAAGTTGTTCATTGTACTATTTCTGTTGAAAAATCTGTGGGACAAGAGATATAAACTTTGTTCCACTGGAGTCTCAGAAGGAGATAAAAAGAAATGGATGATGCTAGAAATGTTTTTGAAGGAATAATGACTTCCCAACTGTCTTAGTTACTTTTTTCTCGTTGCTGAGACAAAATACCTAACACCCAAAGGTAAAGGGGGAAAGATTTATTTGGCTCACAGTTCATAAGTTTTAGCCCATAATCGGCTGGCTGCAAGGCAGAGTAGCAGAGGGTAACAGTTCACGGCAGCGACAGCGGAAGACAGCCCAAGCAGCAAGGAACCTTAACAGCCAATTCCACCCCTTTTATCTTATTCAAACTACTTGAGGGGGTAGCACTCACACCCTTAATCCTGGTGCCCTCGGGCCAGCCCCACCGTAAATCAGTAAATCAATCGCACACTCTAGATTCAGCCTCCTCTGAGAAGGCCCGAGGCTTTGGGGAAACCTCTAAACAAAAGCCCTAAAACCAACTTCGATGAAAGTTTTTAAGCTTGTATGCCTGACGTATTTCACTTAATATTATTAAGACAATACAGCAAAGAGTGTTTTAAGAGACTTTAAATACTAAAATTTTAGTCCACAAAGATGTCACAACCCCAAATGTATATGCACCAAACAACTAAGTTGCAAATAAGTGAAGCCACAGCCAATAGAATTGAAAGAAAAACTAGATAAACCCACAATCACACGTGAAGACTCCAGCACCTCTCTCTGAGCAATTAATAAAATAATTAAACAGAAATTTAGCAGGAATATAAAATTTAACCACATTAATGAATAGGATCTAATTGACACTTAAAGATTATGCTACCAAACAGCAGCAGAATGAATATTCTTTTCAAGTGCCTCTGGAACATTTACCAAGTCATACCATATCCTAGGCCATAAAAGGAACCTCAACAAATGTTAAAGAATTGGATGCAGGCAGAGTGAGTTCTGGACACAATGAAATTAAACTGGTAATCAATAACATGAAGAAAACCAATCAATTCAAACACTTGAAAAATTGCTAACATACTTCTAAGAAGCTCCTGGGTGAAAAAGGATGTTTCAAGGGAAATTTTAAAAATATGTTGCTCACAAGGGCAAGGTCCCAAGTTCGATCACTGGTACCAAAAATATATATATATATACACATATATATATGTTGAGCTAAATGAATATGAAAATAACAACGTATCAAAATTTGTGGGACACAGCTAAAGCAGTGCTTAAAAATATATTTAGAGTATAGTTTGACAAAGAGTGAAGGTCAAAAATCAATAATCTAGGTTCCTACCTCAAAAAACTAGAAAAAAAAAAAAGGAGCAAAATAACCTAATGTAAAGACAAAAAAGGAAATAATAAGTTTAAGACCAGAAGTAAATGAAATTAAAAAGAGAAAAACAATACAGAATATCAATGAAAGGAAAAAATTGTCCTTTGAAAAGATGAATAGAATTTACAAATTCAAGAAAAACTGACAAATAAAAAGAGAGAGAGAGAAGACACAAATCACCACAATTAGGAATGAAGTGGCATAATTCTACAGACTGTTTAAACATCAGTAGTACACTAAAGGAATACAACAAACAACCGTGTCTATAAATTTGACAATTTAGATGAAATCAAATTCCTTAAGAAGCACAAACTCCCATGACAGTAAATAAATTTAATAGCTCTATAACTTCTTGACTATTTCATCTCTCTGACTTTTCCTTTTAGTACATGTTTGCAGTACATGCAGTTTACAGTCATCTTGGGGAGTGGGCACATGTACATACCACAGCTTGATTCTTTTTTAATCCCTTTCCCTCCTGCCTCTCCTCTCCTCTTCTAAATCTCTTTTCCCCACTTTGGTTCTTGTTGATATTATTAATCTTTTCTCATGTTTATGACATACAGTGTTTACATTCCTTGAGGTTATTAGGTTCCTGTACATGGAATATCTTTATTCTATTTAAATTCTCCTATAAATTTTAAAAGATTGAATTCATAATTTGAAGATTGACAGAAGAGAAATTTCCATGTCTAGATAGTTTCACTGGAGACATGTACCAAACATTTTAGGTAGAATTAATACAAAAGCTACAGAATTTTTCCTGAAAAATGGAAGAGAATACATTCTAACTTATTTTATGAGGCCACGTTTGCTGATATCAAAAGCAAAGACAATAGAACAAAAAAATTAAAAACCAATATATATTCATGAGTGTAAATGCCAGACTCCTTAAAAATATATTACCAGTGTAAAACCAAACAAAAATTATTAAGTGAGCTTCATTTAGGATGTAAATCTGATTTTATGTTTAAAATTAATTAGTGTAATATATCATATTAATGAACTAAAGAAAAACAATACAGTCATTTCAATTGATACAGTAAAAGTATCTGAGAAAAAATTGCTCATTCATGACAAAACCTACAAAATAGTTGGAGTATAAGAGCACTTCCCATCATGCCTAAAAATATTACTGTTAAATCATTGTTTTGCAGTTCTATTGAACCCAGGGCCTATGTACAGTAGACAATCATTCCACCACTGCATCCTCAAACAGTAAATTATACTGAATGGCGAAAGACCAACGCTTTTCTTCTTTTACTCTGTTGCACCTGGGGGCCGAGCACCACTGCTCTTCTGTCCAAGTAACCTACTAGGATCCTAAAACTCAGCCCCAGTACAAAAATTAGAGGGACAAAGTTTAACGAAAGGAAGACACTTTATTTGTAAAGAGGAAAAGGACAGGGGAATGGACAGCTACCCTGATAAGGAAGAATCAGTGCAGGGAGATCTGGAAGGATGGAGGCCAAGGGGGCCTTTGCTGTCAGCTGATTTTACAGGGGGGTGAGTGACCCTCCCCCCTTCCCCCAAACTTGGCTTCCAGGCACATCTGTCTAACATCGTTTCCTCCAGTGACCTACACGTAGCTTCTCTTCTTTCTTTCTGTCTGTTTTCTTGTCCTTGACCTACTTTTGAAGGCCTTCTCTTTGGGATGGGCAGCTAGTTGGGAAGAGGGTGGCTTATTCAGTTAGTTTAGAGTTAATAAGGAGGCACGCAGGTGTCTATTGTACTTTATAATGACCTTAAGTGACTAACACAGTGACTCTAGAGCGGATACCCCCACACGCATGTGTATCTGTGTATATATACACCTATGTTAGAGCATAGGTGTGAGTCCATACCCACACCTTTGCTTCCTCTATATTTTATTGAAGATGGAAGCAGCTTATTGTTTGTGCCCCAGCCTTCTCTCTGTGTTCCCCCATCAGCTCTTTTTCTGGTCTCTTGGTGCAAGTCCCGAGGCCATTCGGTGCCTTTCTTTATCTGGTTTTTCTCTTTTTCTACCCCTGTCCCTGATGTATAGAGAATTTTTTTAGAAAATTTGTTTTTAATTCCTTCTAGTCATGATTAGCTAGAAGACCCAATGAGGACGCTGTTCTATTTGTTTTTCCTGTCTACAGACCCTGACCCTACAGCTCCCACAAATAAAGGAGTCTCAAAGAGACCCAATTAATTAATTAATTGTAAAAGAATTCATGAAGGTCATAGGATTCAAGATCAACCAAAATCAATTTTACTTCTGTATACATAAATAAAATTAAAATACTATGTAATTTATAATCACTCAAAAGAAGAGTAACGCTTGAGTATGACACTAACAGATTGTGTACAGGACTCATACAGAATTGCTAATTAAACATCAAGAAATGAACAGACCATGTTCACCAATGAGAAAACTGAACACAATTATGTTGCTACTTCACTTCTCCCCCAAATTGATAGCCAAGTTTAATACAATTTCTACTTAGATAAAAAAACAAATCCAAGAGGTATTAAAGTAATTTTAACAGGCTCCACCAGTTCCCCACCAGCCACCACGACAGGGTGAGGAGGACCCCCTCCACACCGGGCAGGGGCAGCCCCACCAGCTGACGGCTTGGCCTCGCCTCCAACCACACTCCGCACCCCATTCCACCCCCCGCCCTCTGGCCTTTTGGGTGTGCAGCTACTTGGTTACACACTGCAGAGGCACAGGGGGACATAAAAGCCATTGTCCTGAGCGCCAGAAGTGAACAACAGAGAGAGGGCCTGTCTCAGGCTCCCTGATGAAAACAAGCCCACTGGAAAAGTGAAGGGAGTCTCTGCAGTAAAGGCACCCCAGACCACCGTGTGTGGTACGTTGGAGGGATCATCAGCTTCCATTGGAAACTGGACTTTCTTCAGGGGAAAAGCAGCTGAAACCTGCAGTAGAAACTTGCAGAGTGCAACCCTGCAGGAGGACAAGGAGCTCAACTTGGGACTTGCAATCAAAAATTTGCCTGAATCTCATGGGTCTGGGACTGGCTTACTGAGACTCATTGA